ACGTATGTCCCGTACTTCTTCATAGCGTGGCTGAATATTTAGACCAACTTATGGATAGGATAAAATACAGAAAATTGTAAAGTTTTCTTTCGATTACTATAGTTAATACCACAAGTAGTTGCGAAGTTTCTTAGCTTAATATCACAAAACTCTTCATCAACAACTAATTATTGAAAAAATCTTTGGTTAGTAATTAAGTGTAAGGAAGCTTTATGTAGATTGAACGATTCTAATACCAACGATAACATCATGCTTAAATCTTAACCAAACTAAATCCATATTTTTACCTTATACGTCGTAATTTATCTACGAATGAATACGTATGATAGAGCAGCATCAAGATTAAGCAAGTGAGAATAGGACAATGAAGAATATTATCCGTATTTTTAAGTTTCAATTATAAAAAATTTTTGACTTTACCCTTGAAATAGGATTAGCTGCTATTGCACAGTATACTATTGCAGTATGAGTCATAACTTCGAATTATTATGAAAACTTTGACAGGTTTATCTCATGGTGATAAATTAATTAATGTATCCAGTTTTATCATCATGAGTCATAAATTTTAGCTTTAGATAGCATTAAAAATGCATTTCATGCCTATAATCACATGGTCAACATCATATGATTAACGAGTAGTTGATCAACGATTGATTGGTAGCGCCATCGCCATCATGATGAAATGATCAGCCATAAGTTTTAATTTTAAACAGTTGATGGCTAGGGTACGGTAAACAAATACTACTCGGGCCTACAATCAGTCACATATTTGACTGCCTGCAGATTGGCGACTTAAAATTAATCAGCCATTGGCTGGTAGTACCATCACAGCTATGACAAAATAGCTAACAATATTGTTTATTTATATAATTTATGAATCTTTCATGAACCACTTGCTGATTTTTTAGACTGCAAATCAGTTACCTATTCACGCGCTGGGCTACCTGCAAATATGATACCCTGCTTAAATTTTCATTTGGGGCTAAATACAAAACAAATACAATACTCTAGTTCAATTTTTACTATTTTCGAAATGTAGTGCCTAATTATGAGGATATAGAGTAGTATGCAGTCCATTGTCATGTGATAGATACTGCTGAAGTATACTTTAGACAAGGAAGGAAAACATTGGTCTAGTCGGTATTTGTAATTGGGTACAATAAAGGCTTCTTTAATTAAGTATAATCTGTCCTTAAATACGAGAAGTTGCAGAGAAGTGTCCGAAAAAGTGATATCATTAACAGGTATACAAATTGTATAGTTCGATGACCTCGCAAAGCACTAGTTAAATGTTAATGAAGTTATAGTGCATTTATAATGCTTAAAGTATCGTTTCTAGATACGATATGAAAATTTTAGTACGATCATTTACAGTAAAGGGATTTGAAGTCATTTTATTACTGTAATAAGGTCATGATCTAAGAAATAGATAGTAACTAATAAATTTATACTTTCTAAAAAGATTCCCCTCATAATGGAATAGGCAGTAGTTTAATAATGCTGCCTGAAGAATTTTATATCCATATTACATGAAACGCTGAAAAATTATATTTTTTATTACTACTAACTTAGCAGTTGACTTTCTATAAAAGAAGTTTTATTCAGTAAACATCGATGTGCTAGATGTATAAAAATTAATGAGAAGACACCTTAGCTTTTCTTACATTCGTAGTTACACAGTCTGACAACAATTAGTCATTTATCATGGATAGAAAACTGAAAGCTCACTTTTGTCCTCTTATTTCCGATAAATTATGCTTTGCTAATATCATTATTACAGTAATATAGAATTATTGTAAAAAAGGATTCAACCCAGACTTGAATGTATATATATGATATAGGTGAGCAGTACAGAAACAGTATTTATTGATATCTGTTTCTAGAGAGAATTAAGAGGCTCCTAGCAGATGGCGATAGCGAACTTTACGTTATTAAAATGTCTATTCAATCACTTATATAATGAGATCTCGTATTCGATATGATCTAAATGACTAGATAAATATAGTAACTAGCAGCTATTGGTTATAATTCATAGGATATAGAAATTATATTTAAAGAAAGAGAACATTGATAGCAATTACATTGAAGCATGAAAATGATACAGACTATCCGGTATCACTATACATGAAAATACTTAAAATCGTAAATATTTTTGTGTCTATGTTGTGCGATTAATTGCGATATAGATTTCCAGTTATAAGTAATTTAAAGAAAGAAAAGAGGACAGTAATCGTCAAGTGTTATTTAACGCTAAAGTGTGGTCGTATTACTGCGAATCGATTCGAGGGGAAAATAAATTTCATAAATCGAAGCGTTGCTGACGACTTAGTTAATATAAGAAAATTGAAGTTCGACAATTACAAAATCTAATTTTACAATGTCCCTTGTTATAATTCCGAATAATTTCAATTTCAACGGGAAATTCTGTATCTATGTAGCTTTAACATTTCGTAGCTACAATATACTGTATTTGGTTATTTACAAACGATCTGTATCGCAATCAATTTTCATCATGGCTAATCCAGATTATATTTGTTGCATTTGAAGTAGAAATCGGCTATAAAACGTGGCACATGATGATTAAAATGTTCTTTTTAATTAATATCACAGTACTTACAGATTAGTCACAGATACCAAATCTAACTTGAATTAGCCCAACATAGATCACATCTAAACACATGTTTGTTCACTTCTTCAAACGTTATTAGTGTCTTATTTACATCGTTGTATTCGCATTGTAAATAAACATACATTACTTTGGTGTTAAAATTTGTTGTAAATAACTTCATTAAGACCTGCCATTTTTGGAGAATAGAACTATCTGTATCTGAGAATTCATATTATAGTACTTTGGTATGATTAATAATAGTTCTGGTAGTGTAGAGATTTATTACAATCTAGTCCTGGCAGAGGCAAATTAAGCTGTAATAAGCTAAAATCATATGAAATTTGATAGCGTAGATGTTTATTATAGTCTATTAACCAGCGATTGCCAATTATGCTGTAATAAGCTAAAATTAAATGAAATTTTGATTTGGACGGAAATCGTACAGTATGTTGGTGTTAGTTAATATATTAACTGAATTTAAAATTTGTAACGTAATCTTGCATTTTTTAGCAACATTCTGGGTTGTGCAAATATTAAGCTTGATCTAAGGAACCTTGAAAATAAGCGTTACAAATACGTTTTCACATAAGGTTAAAATGAATAGATTATGAATTAAGCAAGGCTGATGAATAGAGTTAAATTTAACCTCAAAATATTTGCAAGGCATTGTAGTTAATCTTGTACTTCTATAAATAATTTAAATCTTTAGATATTTTATTATTGCCATTTTGAGTGATCTGCTAGACCTGAGTAGTAGTTTAAGATTGTATACGATATTTGTTTTTAGAAGTCGGCCAAGTTAGATATACTAGCATGTGTCAAGTTGGCTACACCTTTAAACTAAATTATTTTATACTTAGATGAACTGATTAACAAGTAATATCGAGATGCATTGTTGTCACCTTCAATTCACTTCTCATTCTTGTATATTTTTCATCAACTTTAGTGATTTAATCGATTTTAGTGCGCAAAAGACGAAGATTATAGGTTTAATTTCTATTGGCTTGTGTTCTATCATGAAGAGATTCAATGGATTCAAAAAATCTCTGTATATCCTTTCATTGCTGCTGTTGATTCATATCCAGGTAAGTTGACTGTAAAAGTTTTATTCTGTCAAGGAGGGAGAGAATGACTTTCATTTACTAACGTAGTTTTTTAAAGCAGAAAATAATTTCAATGCTAATTAAGAAAATTAGTGATATAATATTGAATAACTAGCGTATATGACGAGATTATCCATCTTACTAGAGATTTTATTGAACTTACTAATTTCTTAAAATAGAAGTTAGTTAAGTAATTTTCTTGCTGTCACCGAATGAAAGCACTTGAAATATACCAAACTTTACATTCTGTAAATTTTATGTTTGAATGCTATAACATCTTCTAAGTAGGATACTTATATGATTGTTTTTAAAGCGATGTATTAACCATGCTATTTTGGACTCTATTACAGAACACAAATGGTGATGTGAGTGGGCACCTAAAAATCCATTTCATTTACTATCAAAATCCAAATCAATCGAGCTATAATGGTTCTCGATGTCAATTTGGATGGGCTTTAAATAATGCTACCCAAAATCACACTACGACAGGCAATAAGATTGTGATGGTAGCAGAAAATAATTCTCTTTGCCATTACCAGTTTACAATTTGCCTTAATAAAGTAAGCAATCAGTCCAGTCTGGTTCAGACTAACGCAAGCAGCCAAAAGTGCATTCATGGAAAGTACAAATCCAATATTATACCAGCTGGAACTGCGATTGCCTTTGCTAATAGCACCATCGATCTCTTCAATAATAGTAAAGCGATCCTGTCTATTCCAGTATTTAATTTAACCAAGGTAGTCAATATGGCTAATTTAAATTTCAAGTTCGTACCAGCATATGATTTGCTTTCTTGACGGTAGTTTCCAGCTAATTTTTCTGTATTTAAAAACATTCTTTGTTCTAGTCTCTTCATATTCAAATCCTTGTTGAAGGCGTCTTATATAATAATTCAAGAGTTTTAATCGATCAAATGTCGAAAGTGGCCAAAATAGATAGTAAACATTATGATGCACTCATCTTAACTGGTCGGCGTTCTGGTCGATTTAGCCGAATAATAACAATTGTTTCCTTAAAATGTGAATCCCAATGGCTAGGCTCCCTATGTCAAACCCGTATGTGCTTAAAATTGTCTGTTGATTAATAATTATTTTTAATGGATACTTCAAAATAGTATGATAATGTTTCCTATTTCTACGGATCGCTTCATACTACATCTACATGGTATAGCATCCACACTTTTATCTCACAGCTACTAAACTCTTCGGTTTAATTGTTTTGTAAAGTACTAGTAATGTTGATATTAGGATTATTAATCTTCTTAAACTATTATTACAATTTTAGAAAAGGTAAATATGTGTAAAAATTCGCCGTGTATGAACAATGGCATTTGTAGCCAAAGTGATGCACATGGATACCAGTGTAAATGTTCGCCTGGATTTACCGGAAGAAATTGCCAAACAGGTAAAATAACTGCCTAAATTTCATATCAGCCGTTTTTTGCTAACTTATATTCCAAGCGTTCAAACTTGCTAAATAACTCCTCCATACTTTAATTTTTATTTCATTATTGCTATAAACATTATTTTATTAATGCGAATATTGATGAATAGTGATAGTTTCTGAATCTCATTATACGAAGTTCATTTATAAAATCATTTGCCTTTCAATTTTTCAATTCAAGGTATAGATGAATGCGCTTCCAACCCCTGCCTCCATGCTTACTCAACGTGCATCGATGGTATAAATGGCTATACGTGTAAGTGCCCATGGGATTGGACCGGAACATTCTGTGAAGTTGGTAAGGTACACCTATCGAAGATAATTTACATTCGAGCTATATCACATTAATATAGAAACAAGTTAAAGATCTTATTAAACTATTACTACCTTTAAATAGATTTCTTTTTTGTTCTTATCTTCAATAACCTGATTAAATAAACTGATATTAACAGGCTTATAATACATTATATTAGGGTTAGTTTAAAATAAATCATATATTAAACGTTACCGTTCCTTACGTAGGATAAGATTGCAAAGTGAATTTAGAAATAAACCAGTGACTTCAATATTTCTCTACAACAGTTTATCATTTATACTAGTGATCATTGCGGTGAAATGTCACGATCCACTTATGAGCTAGTATTTTCTCATCTCACTAATAAAAATTTTTGACCTGTTATTCTCGCTCGATAAATGCAAGTAGAAAGTTAATAATATACGTGCCGATATATTTACATTTATAGTAATTATTACACATCACACATTATACATTTATTTTCGCTCAATAAATGTAAATAGAAAGTTGATAATAGACAGGTCGTCTGGTTTGCATTCATAGTAATAATTCTATGACTGCAAGCACCGATCGATTTATGATCTAGTATCTTTTTATCTCACTAATAAAATTTTTAAGCGCTATTTTCGCTCGATAAATACAAATAAAAAGTTAATAGTAGATGGATCCGTTCATTCACATTTATGGTAATAATTTTATGACTACAAACACCGATCCATTCATCATCTAGAATCTTTCCATCTCTTTAGTCAAATTTTACGCGCTATCATCGATCGATAAATGCAAATAGAAATAATAATAATAGACGGATCGGCTTATTTATATTAATAGCAATAATTTTGTGGCTACACACGAATATTAGCTGGTGCGCTATAATACACGTAAAACTTAACCTACGGCTAAAATAGCTATTAACAGGTATTACTTATTAATAGACGGGTAGTTTAGTAATAAACATCAGCGCTAGTCGAATCTATTGATGGTAGAATGCTTTTGAGTTAAATACCTGACGATATTTTATGTCTCAATTATATTAATTAGCTGTAATACAATCAGATAACATCGCGATAAGGCTATTTAACTGCAGATTATTATTGACATCAAGTTCACTGGAAAATTAATGAAAAACCGTATCATGCAGTAATGCTGGGTTTATCTATGCTATCTTCAGAAATATGGCTGCTATAATTTGATGCAAAGATGAGATATTAAATACCTCTTATTATTGTAGATAATAATCCCTGTCGTCCAAGTCCTTGTCAAGGGAAATCTACATGTTTTGCAATCAGAGCTCATACTTATCGATGTCAATGCCCTCAGAATCGAACTGGAAGAATTTGTGAAACCCGTAATATTCATCTCTAATGCAGATTGCAATCTTTTCTTTCATTGGGTTACTGCTTTGACTTTTTCTAACCATCTCCTATTTTATATGCATATGTAGTTATTACCGCCTGTACTTCTAATCCATGTCAACAGGCCGATGCAACCTGTATTCCAACCGCTGATCGTGGATATAAATGTGTTTGTCCAGCAAACTTTACCGGCAAAAATTGTCAATACGGTAAGAAATGATCGTATTCTATATTTAAGCCTTGCCAATTTTATTTCATTGCGTTTCAAAGATTTTACAATACTACCGTGTGCAATGCAATTCCATTATCGCTTACTGATAATTACTATAGATTTAAATCTCTGCCGCATTTCACCATGCCGTAATGGGGCAAAATGTATTAACAGCGGACTGAATAATTACCGATGTCAATGTCTTCCCGGCTACACAGGAAAAAATTGCCAAATAAGTTAGTATTCGGCAATAATGTTTCTCTTATCCTGCAATTGATTTGCTGAAACAATCTTTATGATTTACGGTTGGGATATTGAAGAGGTTTAAAAAGGAAATTTGATACCATTTTGGAAATAGATTTGATTCAAAACGCTAACCTATATGTAGTCTATTCATGACATGCCTGCATAAGCAATAGTAAAATTAAAGTTGCAAATTTATAAATTTGTCACCATAATATGTAATATCGATAGAAAATAGTATCGGTTATAAGTTTCGGGACATTTGAAGGTCTTGCATGCAGTGCTACTCTATCTCTGCAATAAAGAAATTACAAATACTTTCCTTATTGCTAGCTTCTGTAGTTGATATTTACAGAATTTAATTCAACCAATTATATATAATTATTATATCATTTACACTTTTGATAGCGTAATTTTAATACTTGCAGTTCCTCGCTAAAATCATAGTTAGATCCTGATTTCGTCGAAAGTAGTTCTATTGCTAAGATAATTAGCTGGCAAGCAATTTTATTAGTTCATTGCGAATGACTCTTTTGCATGATTTTGATATTGTTTACAGTCCTAATAGTATAATTTTAATAGCACAACAGCTCGCTAAAATCATAGTTAGACCTATAGCTTCGCTGGTTTATAGCAGGAAATTGTGGTAATATGTTTACCTGAAGCAATTTTATTGCTAAGGTAATTAGCTGGCAAAATATTTTATTAGCTCTTTGCCATTGACTTTCTTGCATAATTATCTTACAGATATTGATGAATGCGCCTCTAATCCCTGTCGTCACATAATAGCGACCTGCATTGATGGCGTTAATAATTTTACATGTAGATGTCCTGCAGACTGGGCTGGCAGACTGTGTGAGAAAGGTGATGAAATAATGCACTTTTGATCCTGTAATATTATTTTATGCATTGATATAATTCTATTTTAGATCGAAATTCTTGTCGTTCAAGTCCATGTCCTTATTACAGCAGTTGTACTAATTGCGGAGATGACTGTTATTCATGCCAGTGTCCAAGCAATTATACCGGGCGGCACTGCCAGATCTGTAAGCATTGTTGAAATAATGTTAATTGGATGTTTTGGACATTTTCAATATATAATAAACCATCGCCTAGTCTGTCAGCTAAACGAGCGAGAAATTTATAAGTTACAGTACTGTGATCATAAGTGTGGTCATATGACTGTATTTCTAATGTGACAGGTAGTAATTTAACTATTTAAGTAAATTTCTGTATGGCTGATCGTGAGAATGTTCAAATTCTTACAGTTTCATCATTACTTGATTTTAATAAGCTCTTTGCACTAAATATAGTACTGAAAATGAACATTTGGCTAATAATAAAAATATCAATGCCCTTTGCAATATAGACTACAATAACTTGATTTTTAATAAGCTCTATACTCCAAACATAGTCTATTGCTGCGATATTAATCAAGATTCCTATAGCCATTACAATTAGCTGGATATTTCAAGTTAATATTACTACACAGTTACTTAATTGAAATATTAGTTACCATCAAAGTTATTATAAAGTAAAATAGGAATTCTTATCACTGCCTTTAAAATAAATAATCAATGATTTATCGAATAAATAAAATTGAATTGAAGAGTAGATTTGGTATGCTATGTATTCCTATCAATAATGGCTTTACTTCTGCGGAAGCTTTATGTAGAGAAGGATGCAACTTAGATCATGGCCACTGTATGAATGCTCCTTTCACATGCGTGTAAGGCTTAAAACTATGGCGATATCTTATACTAAAAATGGCTTAAATATTATAATTTATATTTAATTGCATGAGTAGCATAAATGATGATGGCATTAATTATAATTATGGTTATTAATTTAAAGTTATAAAAATTTACCTTTGATGATTGTTATTTAGATGTCAAAGTGGCTGGACGGGCTATATATGCAATACATGCATAAAATCTGCTAACTGCTCAGGTATATCAATTGGTTACCCAATATTTCAGATTCTGATATTGAAATTGCTTAATCAATACGGCATGAGTCAGGCATAGTTTTTAATTGAATGATCATTACTAAAAATATTGACTTTGTAAGAATAAAATTTTTATACTGATATTCTGAATATATGGTTGAAGAAAATGGGTATTGCATTAAAGGGAATGATTGTCACTGCAAGAAATTTTACGGTGGTTCCAATTGCGAATATGGTATTTTAATCACTAATCTAAGGGATATTAAGTCGATTGTTTTTTCAATTGTAACGGCCAATATCTGGTTGTTGAGAAGATAATTAGTCAACGATTAATTAGCGTAGCTATTAAAATTATTAACAGAGTACTTTCTTTTAATACTCTAATTTAAACACTTTTAAAGAGTGAAAACTGTTTTATTTGAAGTAGTTACATTAATATCATGGAGTCTAGATATTAACTTTACCATCATGAGAGAATACGTTTATAGCTTGCAAATTATCAGCAGTTTACTTAGAATTGCAACATGAATTATTATAAATTGTATAAAGGGAACTGCTACGAATAGATTTTTGTGAATAGTAACATCTACAATATTGACATAGCATTTAACTTTAACTTTTAAAGTATAATGTCTACTTTGCATACAATTTAGATACAAATCGATGTAGAAGTGGACCATGCTTGAACAAGGCAAATTGTAGCAACGTTCAACCTGATAGCTATCAATGCCATTGTCAACCGGGTTATACTGGGAAAATTTGTCAAACAGGTACAACATAACATTGGCAATTTTTTGGGATACGGTAGCAGCTACGCAGAATGATATTTTCCATTTATTCCATCTTCCGATATTGTCGAATTGCATGGATCTTTATTTGAAATTTTCGAATGATAATTTATCATTATCATTTATTATTTTACTGAGTCTTAGCTCAGCTAGATTTGCTAAGTATTTGCATATACTGTGGATTTTCTTCATTTGTTCTAGATATATTTTACTTTTGCTAATTGATTTAATTGGCATTATTACAGTTCTGAAAGCGTGTGTACGTTTAATATCTCAATCTGATCTAGATATTAATGAATGTACGGCGAAGCCTTGTGTTCATCCGAATGCAACCTGTATCGATAAAATAAATGGCTTCACTTGTCAATGCCCGCCATTTTATACCGGCAAGCTTTGCGAAGATGGTAATTAATATATTTAGTGATGGCAAAACAGGGAAATGAATGTCGAAAGATTTTAGCTTCCTGCTTTAAAATTCAATATAAAGTTTCCATTTGCATATCGCATTAACCTAATTTTAGATTATTAATATATTTTCTATTGGGGCGGGGCGCCTTCCGGATAATCCTATTTCTTTTTGTATATCATAGATTTAAATTCCTGCCGTAGTCATCCATGTTTGAGTGATGGAACATGTATTAATACCAGAGCAAATCGATATAAATGCAATTGTCGACCAGGTTTCACCGGAAAAAACTGTCAACGAGGTAGCTATAATAATAGTGAGAATATTGAAATTGATTTCAAAAATCGATAAACCTCATTTCGATACTATATGTGTTTAGGCAGCATAAAAATTATTGATTTATTTTGGTAGATGTACGCGAATGTGACAGCAAGCCTTGTAAGAATCAAGGTTCTTGCCAAGAAATCATGGGAGGCTATTCCTGTCACTGTACTGATGGATATACAGGTCGACATTGTGAAAGTGAAATAGATGAATGTAATAGTGGGCCATGCTATCAAAATTCTACCTGTATCGATAAGGTAGCTGGTTATCAATGTCAATGCCAAGCAGGGTATACTGGTCAAAATTGCCAAACACAGATTAACGAATGTCTTAGTCAACCATGTCAATATGGTGGAACTTGCATTGACCAAATTGCTAGTTATTATTGCCAATGTCCTTCTCATGTCACAGGCGTTCATTGCCAAACTGATATTGATGAATGCCGCAGTTTTCCATGTCAGAACGATGGTGAATGTATTAATGTACTTGGAGGTTATCAATGCCAATGCTTAAGCAATTTTACAGGCCAAGAATGCCAATCCGACGTTAATGAATGTACCCAAATTCACCTTCCCAATACTAACATTAAACCTTGTCAAAATGGTGGTACATGTGTCAACTCGTTTGGAAGCTACTATTGCCATTGCCCTCCAAATTATACTGGAGAGGTATGTCAGCAAAGTTATGATATTTGTGAATCAGAACCTTGCCAAAACGGTGGGCAATGTGTAGTAGAATCAACTGGGTATCGATGCAATTGTTCAACTACAGACTATAAAGGCAATCACTGCCAGACAGGTAGGATAGATTACATTTTATGAAGGTAACTTCATTATTAAATATATTGTAGGTGTAGTATATTCACATTTGGAAGGTAGAATAAATTACGTCTCCTGTCGGTATCTTCATTAAGTATACTTGTATATATGTATTCATATTCAGGAGGTAAGCTAGATTAAGTTTTATGTTATCATTATTAAATATAGTATATATTCATATTGTTGCAATAAATTATTTGCCAGGTAATTGACAGCCTGTGATACTATTTTCTTATTTTTTACAGTAAGACTGTGCACAGCAACAACTTGTATTAATAATGGGACATGCACTGAAGATATGAACAGCTTTAACTGCCAGTGTTTGCCTGCATTTAGAGGTCGATATTGTCAACTAGGCGTTGATGAGTGCCTATCAAAGCCATGCCATAATGGTGGTACTTGTCAGAATTTAATCGGTGGTTATAAATGCACTTGTCCGCCAGGTGTCACGGGCTTGTCATGTCAGAATATAATCGATCAATGTGCTTCTAAGCCATGCCAACATGGTGGTAGATGTATTACCTCCATTAATGCCTTTGCGTGTGATTGTAGTGGTACTGGTTATACTGGGCTAGTCTGTCAGTCGGAAAGTGAGTCTATACGGTTTATCAAATGGCCAAAATACGAGTATATATCGCTGTTATAAATTATGATAAAGTAATATTCTTTTCATAGTACCTTGGGTACATTAGCTTTATGGCTACCACGTAATACGATACAAAATTGTTAAACTTCCCAAATCTGATTGATTGATAGCTCAAATGATACCAATAGTTATAGTTTAATGGAATTTATGTTAACTATAAGCTAAAGTGTACAGTAGTAATTCATTTGCGTGTCATTATTATATGCGAGAGATATTTGTAGATAAAATTAATTTTATAATCTATCGATAATTATCAATTTTAATATACTTAGGACAGTAATTATAATTAGTATACAATTTGTATCGAAAAGGTTGCAATGTACTACTTGACCATTTTGCACGATCCGCATAGATTATTGCTATCATAATTGAATTGATATCATCTAGTTTTAAGCTGATTATAAAAGGACAAGTACTGTAAGGTTTAGCTATTTGGTATTCTTAAGACGTAAAAACAAATATTGAACTTATTCTCACAGTGTTCATATGATAGTCTTCAGCTGTTTGCATTTTCTAAAATGTTTTCACATTGTTGATTCTAATTAGTACTGATTGGTTCATGTACATATGGTGGCAAAGTGTACAGAAATAGAGAAAAATGGAATGAATATTGTAATGCATGTAATTGCAGAAGTAGTCGTTCAATTTGCTCTAAGGTGATTTATGTGGCTTCAAATGATACCTTGTGCAAGATTTATTTTAAGTTTATTAGATAATATAAACGCATTTCTTCAAAAATAATACGATACTTATCGTGTAATATGGCTATATAATCGGCAACACTAGGTATGGTGCGGATCTGTTAGTTGTCCTTTAAATAGTAATGGACCTAAAGTTTGCCCTAATGGACACACATGCTTTCATGTACAAAATTCTGAATGTCTTGCACCACCTTGCAATATAACTGGCGTTTGCCCACTTGTTACACCACCGAATATTATATGCAACTCTGGTAATCAAAACTCAACAAAGTGTCTATCTAAAGCATTTTTTCTGTCAACGCGATTACTACCAATGGTAAAAATTGATTTTATAATTGTGTGATAACATCAAGTTCCTACGTATCAATTGCTATGGCTATTCTTACAAACTATAATAGAAATTAATTAATTTTCCATCACTATGCCATAAGCATGATCTAAATTATGATATTTCTCCGATAGATTTTTATTCATTTGCGATCATGTAACGTTTCTTTTGCTCGGTACATAGGGAACCACTTTGCAGGAAGTATGCTACGCAATTCGTCTCCAAGATAGAATGAAATCGTTTGCTGTAGAGAAGCTGTTAACTGTTGATTGCTACATAATGGAAAGAAAGCCAGAGTGGATACATTTGCGTATCGAATTTGTAAATACCTTCACTAAGATACTCTACAGATGTTATAGTTAGATTAAATGTGTAGCGTAGAAATTTATATTTGTAAAGACGCTCAATCATTATTTTCATCGTAGCATAGTTTTGCGGGAATCTCGACAACGCAGCAAGCTTTACAAGCTTTTACTTTATCCATTGGAAGTAACTCCTCTAATCGAGTGTTATCTTTGCTATCTGTTTCCAAACCTCAGCAACCTTATGTATCTGGGAGATTGCCAGGTATAATTTTCGTGAAGAAAAGTAGATTACCGATTTAATCACTATCGTTTACGAAGACTGTTCATCTACTATTCTGTAGACACTTATGGTATAGTAAATAATTTTAACTTTCCTTAGCTAGTTAAATATACGTACGGTACGATTTTTGTGATATTTTATGTAACCGACCAAAGTACCCCATACAGTACCCATTTTTAAACTGGGTTTGTATTTTAATTGATATATATAGTTTAATTTATATAAATTTTAGTTTATCTTAATCTCAGAAATCTCTTGGAAAGGATAAAAATACATTAGCTTGCTTTGTATAATAATTATATTTGATAGCTAGATGCACTTTCCGTTACTCCTTTTCGGTTTTCCCATAAACATGCTTTTTTTACCGTATTTTTATGTTCTAACTGACATACAGATACATTACATTTTCTACATATTATCAATCGATCATGAGAACAAATAGAATAAGTAACTGTATTTTTTAAAAGAACAGCCATTTTCATCAGCTTAGCGAGATTTTAATTAGCATAAATTCTGGTTTATTTCAAATCTACGAAATTTCTTGGAAAGGATAAAATATATATGAACCGCTTTACAATATTTTTATATATTATAACCAGATACATTTTTCAGTTACTCATTTTCAGTTAGGAAAAATTATCGTTTATTGCTTATATAATTGTTTTTATTCACATGTTGTTAGATTTCGTCCTACCACTTATCATTTCTGTCGTTGCAGCGATTGTTGTGGTAATGATAGTGATAATTGTATTCAAAAAGAATGCTTACAAAGGGGATCTATCCTTCCGAAATTGTATAAAACTCAGAGCACCACGTGGATTCAGATATCGCGGCCACAAAAATACTTCTCCTTATAGTCCATTCGGAGATGAATCTATAGGCAACAATTGTGATCCTACTACTAATCATGATTTATAAATTCCTGATGAGATTCGAAGGAGGAGAATCCAAGATATACGGATGTTTTTAATTAAATTAGGCTATATCTAGACCTAACATGTAATAATGAATAAATTAAGATATATTTTGCGATTAAATGACGAAATTGTTATTCATGTTGCTGCTACTTGTACTTACAATCGATCTTTAATCCCAATATGTTCATATTCAATCATTTTGTATGTGTAGTAACTTAACCATTCGTATTCCACGCATCTTTATTAAAACGAAGGAATAGAGTAAACAGTACAACATTACAGAGTGGTAATATCGAAGAAAATAGCAATAAAATACAAATACACGTACAATTTCACGAAAAAAACTTACCACGTTATTATACTAGACTCTTATTGATATATTTCTATCAGAAATATATAATAATCCATAAAGATTGAAAAGTCAACTATCTAAAATGATTATTCTACTTCCAAGATTGCTCTTGGTAACCGATTTCGTAAATGCCGGGAATATGCTAATATAATATGATCATCGGATAGCGTTAATATAAAAACTGTGAGCTAGAATATTACCGGTACCTCATTAAACAAAGTCTTCAGAATACATGCATAGATATTTGTATTTCGCTTATTGGTTTTAATTCATAGTATTCACCATATATTAATAGTATGAAATTTATATTGCTGTTATTAATGTAATGGTTATAAAAAATATTGATTACTTAAGTAGACTATACAATCTAGCTGTATGAATATCAGATGTAATTGTTACCTGCAGTCTTATCATTCATTAAAATAAAGGCTAATGAAAGTTTGATTAGATTCTCAATTTAAAGTAACAAAATACTACTGAACCTTTAAGTCGATTGCCTTCGTAGAAAGATATATCGAACTTAAAAATCTCTGATTATTGGATGCGTTTGAGATTGATCCGTTAATAATAGTTTTAAGAGCCTTTATTTTAATTTTTATTAAGATCTTCAATTTATTTTCTCATCTGCAATCGATAATTGGTAAGCTGTAATTTGGTGTAATATATCAATCACGATATGTCCGTTATTGTGATGTTTTAGCAGAGATTTCAAATACAATCTAAACTAAAAGATTTTTACGCAGTTTTTAGGAGGCTGGATAATACTTGTAAAACTAGTTAATTAAAATTGGAAGAAACTACAGCTCCTCCTGTATGTCTTTAAAATAGTAAGAAAATAATTGGCATATCTAGACGATACATATGACCCTTGACACGATATTGATGAATAAGGAGTAGGTACTTGTTACAATTTATGCTATTGCTAAATAAAAATGATATTTAAAAAAATAGATGTAATCGATTTCTACATATAAGCTTTTAATTTAAATTACTTCAAGTAAACGACTGTAATTCTGCTATAAAAGATGCACTAAATTGAGCAGCATAAAGAAATTAAATGGTTATATTAATAAGTACCTATAAATCTTATTTTGTAAATATGCAATATCAAAACGAACTAGCAGGTACAATTAAAAATAGGTTACTGTATATTGACACTCAACTTTCAAATAAAGTGTAAAAAATACTATGACCATTTCTTTAACGGATAAAAATTGATTTAATACCTTCCAGTTTATAAAATGTAGCATAGAAATTTTGGATTTAGAAGTAGTCCTTCAAAATTATTATGTAGTTATACGTATTCTTTTATATCAAAGGGCATAATATATCAAGAAAGATATTTACTATCATCATATCAAGAGTTAATGGAGCAAACTTATGATGTTTACCGTCCATGTGTTATTAATCAAAAAGCTAAAGTGAAAATTAATGAAAAAGTTTGACGTATTTACATTTTGTATTAACTAAAACATGAAGGAAATTTCATGAATTGTTTAGGTAGTATAGGATTTGTTGATCGATTAAATAAAGAAGGAGAAAAGATCTAGATACTATCTTGATTAATTGATAAGTGAACCTTCATCATGGCTGTCCCTGAAGGACTTCTTCTTGGATGCGTTTGATGTAACATGATTGTAAATATCGCTCATGCTCTTCATTATGCTCGATCTCTTCCTCCTTCTGTTTCCACTAACCAATGATTGATCATCGTAATTTTGATAATAATAATCGTCGGCAGTTTGAAGGCCATTTCCTTTTTGTAAAGTCGTGGTATCGGTAGGTAAGCTATCACTTCGTTCACGCATTTTGGAAGATGATTTCTTTGTCATAAATAATGTAACCTTGTCGTTATCACCTTTGCCGTTAACTGATTTATAGAGGCTACCGTCCTTGCCATTTGTATTGGTTACTATACCGTTATTAGGTACGCTAGTTTCAGGGTATTGCTGGTGAGCACTTTCGTTATCATTGATGGCAGGATTCTCAAAATAGGTACTAGAATAGTTTTGATTTCGCTTAGCAAAGCTATCAACGCTAAATTTACTTCTGGTACTATGCAATTGAACTTGCTCGTCACCGTCGAGGTCAGGACTATCGAAACGGCTTTCTTTCCGAGCAGGCAGATCTGGAAAATCCAGATCTCCTTCTTTGTACAGTGGATTAGTTATACTTGTAGCTGGAGCGATAGACGATAACTGTTGCTCGAAAGATACAGAATTCTTTTGAGCAGTTTGTTTACGTCGACGTCGTCGATACAAAAAGACAGCTACAAGCAGAAAAATAGCAATAGCGATGATGATACCGATAACAGTAGCGTTGAAACCTACAACATGAGAGAATTATTAAATTCCATTTCGAAGTTTTAAAGATGAAATGACTATTTGATTCCTAAAATCGAAACTTTAGCTATTTAATCTATCATAGACATATCCTGATCGATATTTTAGCACGCTAAACATAAAATGTCTTCAAATTTGATGATAACGTATAAGGTTAACATGAATACCTTCCGCTTTGATGGGTAATAGCTGAACTGGTGGATTATTCCCTTGTCCTGTCTGAAGGCTTAACAATAATGCTGTCAATGCTGACTGGGCGTATTGACTTCCGGAAGCGGATTTCTACAAATTAAAAGATAGAGAGAAAAGATCTGTTAGCGATAGTAGAAATTGTAGTCAATAACGTTAAAAAATCTACAAATACTTTTGTGTAATTAATGTGTAGTTGTGTATATATATATACACGCGATTACTTATAGATAAATATAATTAATACCTGGCGCTATCATTATATTTAGATACAGTAGTGTAACGTAACATGGCATTATGTAGAGCAATATGTATTTAGAGATAGCATATCTAAGATATGTATTCTTTATGCAGCTAGGATTTGGATGTGATGAGTTAGATAGTACTTTGATGCTTAAATAGATCACTACAGTTGTATTAATATATAATAGAAATACGAAGAAGATATGGACAGTTTGCGCAAAGTTTTAAATATTTTATTTTATTGTTTTTAACGTAAATAATAAGCTTGCTGTATATACTCTCGTAGGCTAAAATTTTACCGTGGCTAATGCAATTCGAATTCCCTCTGATGTTTTCTGTTCGATTTTACATTGCAAAATGAGGCTGCCGTTATTTGAGTAACTTTTCAATACATTCACGGATCGTAATTCATTGCATAATTCAGTGATGGTTGTCCCCTGATGTGCGAGTAGATATATGAAACGCTGATTAAAAAATTTCATGTAATCGAGCTAACGTTCAACATTCAGCTCGGTTGAGACCTTAAGCTAGTATAATCATGCTATAATCTCTTACATTTGTAAGGCTATTATGGCCGATTAGAAATGACTGTCGGTAACAGTTGCTTGGTGAATGGCCAACATAGTTAAGGCAATCTAATCCTAATTCACTTTTTGAGCAGAAACTGGCAGTTGAGCAAGGTGGCTTAACACATTCATTTTGCGATAACGATTGGCAGGTATCATTTTGTCCACATTGGCCTTGTAGTGAGGGATTGCAAGCTGTTGGGCCGCACCAAATCTACAGAGCAATTAGTGGATAAAAATAATATACAGGACGAGATTAATAAATTCACTATCTTTAATGATAAATATTACTATCGTTGGAATAGGTATTAAAAGAAAATTTACCATTGTACAACTTTTTTGTCCTCCTTCGCAGGTACATTTATTGCAATCACTAAGCCAGCTGCTACCATTTTGATAGGCTATTCCATTACTGACACAAGTAACTAAAAGTTGGATATATTTAATAACAAGATAAATTCATAGTTGATTTTAGAGGTTAATAAGTTGTCTTGTAGCTTTTAAATGACTAGTTTGACAATATTTATTCTACCTAATAATAGAAATATATTATTATAAGGTAACTAAAAAAGTAGATAATTGAAGAACAGGATAGATTTATTGTTGATTTTGGAGGTTATTAAGTTATCTTGCAAGATTTAGATGACTAGCATGGCAATATTTATCCTATCTAACGATAGCAATGTTACAATAATATTATCTTATTTTGATGACATATAATTGTAATTAGCTTAGTTCTTACCTAAAGTGCAATCTAATCCTGTAAAGCCGGTATAACAATAACACTTATAACCAGTTGGATTATTAATACAATTGCCATTAGAATCACATGGATTGCTTAAGCAGTGGTCAATTTCTATATAATTGGAAATAAAATGAGATGAATGATAGCAACTAATTTGTAGAGCGGTAAATCTCGTCCAACAAATGCAATGTAATACTAAAATATCCTGAAGCTGAAGACATGATGTATGTATGGAATATCTATAGCACTTTCCAGTTAGAAAAGTGATATCATTATCTAGTTCAATACTATTTGATATTTACTAAATTTTCATAACCGTGCCATTTACATTGATTATCATCTTCGAGGTAATATCAGAATTTATATATCTATTTCCATCAATGTTGGCTTATTTATCGTCTATATTCGCATACTTTGTCGTTAACTACTAGTATAAATCAAGCTATTTATTATGATATATAATCTATGAAGAGTAATACTATCATTTAATACTGTTCAAAAGCTAGATTAAACTTATTATATCACATAGATGAATAATTTGAAGTATTTTATAAACTATGTTTAATGGGATGGCTGCTGAAGGTAATTATTTAATCTGATGTCCGATATTCTGACTATCGGGAATAACTATTCGGTAAATATTGCGCTTACTAATATCCATTACGTTACCTAAGCTATTTAATCTAATTTCTTAAAGGTGATCTTTAGCATAGGAATAAAATCTTAATACACCGGATATATCATTTGTTAACTAGCAGAAATCGACTTCTATTATTCTTAATAGTACCGACTTTAAAATTTGAAGTTGATAAGTATTAATAAAGTTTAAGATGAAATTGAATCAGATATTGCAAACAGCTAACAAATTTTCGTAGAGAAATGCAGGCATCTATTGCATATGTTACCTGTTTGACAATCTTTGCCAGTATAGCCTGGATTACATTGGCAATGATAGGTAGTTAGTGAATCGATGCAGTTACCGTGATTATTACAATTGACATTAGTGCAATAGTTGATATCAGTGTCGCAATTACTGCCAGTAAAACCAGTTGAGCAATTGCAATGATATGAGTTAATTTGGTCGATACAAGTGCCATTAACACATGGAGATGATAAACATTCATTTGTTTGAATCTGGCAGAAGTGGCCATGGTAACCAGGTTGGCAATTACAGTGCACGTTATTAACTTGATCAACACAGCTAAATGCATGAACGCATGGATTGCTAGCACATTCGTTAATATTGGTCTCGCATGTTACACCGGTGAAACCAGGTCTAATGCAACAAAATCAAAGCTTTAGTAATATATCTGAAATGGTAGTCTTAATGAACTAAGGTTACTTCTTATAGTAAGAGACTAAAACTGTTTATGTATTTCTTTAACTATTAAGACGCATTAGAGCTCATAGAAACAGATCTATTTGAAGCAGTTGGATTGATAAAAGATCTTAAAAGCAAATGAAATTACAGCCATTTATTTTTATTTTATATTCTGTCCCCGGTTTTGGTATGTTATTGAACGATGGTTACTTATAGTAAGAGAATAAACTATTTATATTGGTATATTCTTTAACTGGTAAGATACTTTAGAGCTTATTGAAACGGATCTATTTGGAGTAAATATATTGTATAAAATAACTCACATGCAAGTACAATTATGAGCATTTATTTTATCTGTACATGGTCCCTGTTTTGGCATGTTAATGAACTAAAGTTACTTCTTATGGTATAGTAAAAAATAAATTATTTGAATCTATTTTTAACTGGTAAGGTACTGCAGAGCTTCTTGAAACTGACTATTTGAAGCAGTTGCATAGCATAAAAAACTTACAGGCAAGTGCAATTGTATCCATTTATTTTATCTGTACACTGTCCCTGGTTATGGCATGGATTAGGCTGGCATTCATTGATATCCGTTTGGCACACTGTTCCAGTATAACCAACTGGACAAGAACAAGAATAGCCATTGATTTGATCATGGCATGTTCCTCTATGACGACATGGATTACTGCTACATTCGTTGATGTTGGTTTCACATTGAGTGCCAGTAAAACCGTATTGGCAGTAGCACTGATAACGATTGATTAAATCAGCGCATGTTGCTCCATTTTGGCATGGATTACTTTGGCATTCGTTAATATCGAATTGGCAATATCGGCCAGTATAGCCAGCTGTACAATTACAAGTATAATTTGCAATTAAATCGATACAGTTACCGTTAAAACAATGCACAAAAGCACACTCATTGATTTCATTCTGGCAATGACCACCAGTATAGCCTGCATTACAATTGCATTTATAGCCAAAGACGGAATCGACACAAGATCCATGCACGCAAGGCGATGATGCACATTCGTTAATATTCGTTTGACATTTACTACCAGTAAATCCTGGCTTACAAGCGCAAGAATAGCTACCAATCCTGTTGACACAAACGCCATTAGAAGTACATGGTGAACTAGCACATTCGTCAATTTCTGTCTCACAATTGACACCAGTATAACCAAAGCATGTACATTGGTAGCTGTTAATATTATCAATACAAGTGCCATCATTTCTACAAGGATTGGATAGGCATTCGTTGATGTCATTTTGACATCTTTTTCCATCGAAGCCAGGTGTGCAGTTGCAATAAAAATCGTTAATTCTATCTCGACATGTTCCATTAATACACGGTTGATCAGAACATTCATCAATTTCTGTAATGCAGTTAGTTCCAGTATAACCAACAATGCATAAGCATCGATAACCATCTATACCATCAAAACACGCACCATGCAAACAAGGACTGCTGCTGCATTCATCAATATTAATTTCACAATCGATTCCTGTATATCCTATTGCACAATAGCACTTATAAGAATCGTGTTGATCTTGGCAAGTCCCATTATGCTGGCAAGGTTGACCATTACAGCTATCAATGCATGATTTGCCTTGGATGCCAGGTAAACAGTTGCAATGGTAGTCATTAATCAAATCTGTACAGGTTCCATTATTGCGACATGGATTAGGGTTGCAATCATTAATATTTGTTTCACATATTACACCAGTAAACCCAGCTGCACATGTACAATCAAATGCATCTAAATTATCGATACAAGTAGCACCATTTAAACAAGGCATACTCGAGCATTCATTAATATTAATCTGACAATCTGCTCCACTATAACCACCTTCACATGTGCAGTTATAGCCATTGACTAGATCTAGACATGTACCGCCATAGCGACATGGTGCACTGGCACATTCATTAATATTCACTTCACAAGTACTACCAGTATATCCTGGCATGCAGGTACATTGATAATAGTTGACGTAATCAGTACAAGTACCAGAATTTTGACATGGATTTGAAGCGCATTCGTTAATATTAGTTTGACAATTAACGCCGGTAAAGCCCTGCTTGCAATAGCATTGATATTTATCCAAAAGGTTCGCGCAAAGAATGGAGTTAACGCATGGATTACTCGCACATTCATCGATGTCGATTTCGCAATGTATTCCAGTGTAGCCAGGGATGCATGTACAGTTGTAAGCATTGATGAAATCGTTGCATGTTCCACCTATAAGTCAAAAAACAATCATAAATCTCTTTAAATTATTTCTTGACTTAAAAAAGGCGATAGGTTGATACTATTTCCATCATATGCTGAAAATAGCTAACATAAATCTCTAATCCTGCTGATTTTAGGTTGGAACATATTGCATTAAATAGACTAAGTACTGTATAGCATAAAAAGAGGCTTTTGTCCCGAAAAGATTGAGAACTACTGAATTAACGCTAGCTCAAAATGATAGAAATGACTAACCGTGACGACAAGGTGAAGAATTACATTCGTTGATTTCAATTTCACAATATTGACCAGTAAAACCAGGTAAACAGGTGCAATTATAGTAATTAACGTAATCATTACAAATTGCCCCGTTAAGGCATGGAGTTGATTGACATTCATTAATTTCAGTTTGACATTGGGTTCCAGTATAGCCCGGATTACATCTGCACTGATATTGATTGATTTGATCCAAACAAGTTCCACTATTCACGCAAGGATTGCTAGCGCATTCGTTGATATCGACTTGGCACTGTAATCCAGTGTAACCAGGTTGACATTGGCATTGATAGCTACCAATCAAATCCTAAAAGTGATAGTCATAAAACGATCAGAAAGATTCATTGGTAGCTATTTATAAAATAGCCTTCACTAATCAATACTTTTGTCTATACAATAAACCATTCGATATATCGGACATATTACACTACAGTCATAAAACGACCGGAAAGGATAATTGGTGGCTATTTTTAAAATACACTTAACTAATCTAAGACTTTGATCTATGCAATAAACCATTTGACTTACCAGACAAGTTCCATTATTCAAGCAAGGCACAGATTGACATTCGTTAATGTCTGTTTGGCACATTACTCCGGTATAGCCATCAGCGCAAATGCAATTAAATTCGTCTATTAAATCGATACAAGTTCCATTATGAATACACGGTTGAGATTGACATTCGTTAATATCGATATCGCAAGTATTTCCAGTATATCCGTCGGCGCAATGGCAATTATAACCATTGACCATATCTTGGCAGGTAGCATTGTTCTGACATGGATGCGATTGGCATTCATTAATGTTAATTTGACAGGTAGGTCCAGTATATCCAGCAATACAGTTACAACTAAAGTAATTGATTAAATCGAAGCAAGTACCATTATTTTGACATGGTTGTGATTGGCATTCATTGATATCTGTTTGGCAATGAATTCCAGTATAACCAGGGTTACAATTGCAAATATATCTGTTGACCATATCAATGCAGGTGCCATTATTTTGGCAAGGTTGCGATAAACATTCTTTAATGTTAATACCGCAAGTAATACCAGTAAATCCATTCTTGCAGTTGCATTTATAACCATCAATCATGTCAATGCAAGTTGCCCCATTACTGCAAGGTTGCGATCGACATTCGTTGATATTAGTCTCACATACAGTACCCGTAAAGCCGTTTGCACAATCACAGATATATTCATCGATAATATCCACACAGCTAGCATTATTTTGACACGGACTGGATGAACATTCGTTAATGTTGATAGCACAAGCATTGCCAGTATATCCACCAAGGCAATTACATCGATAACTATGAATTTGATCAATGCATGTTCCATTATGCATACAAGGTTGAGATTGACATTCGTCGATATTAATATCACAGCGTTTTCCAGAGTAGCCATTAGCACAATTACACCTAAAATCGTTCACTAAATCGATGCATGTCCCATTATTATTGCATGGACTATTGATGCAATCATCAATATCTAATTTTTAAAAGATGAAGAGATAAAAAATTAGGAATCAACATCATTTGATTGAGCGAATATGCTATCGAATACGTAGTCTAGCAGTGGCATAGAAACGCTTATCGGTAAACATGTATATCAGATTATACGTCGTTATATACTAATTTATTAAAAAGTGAAGTTTTAGCCTTAATTAGATTAGAAAAATAATAGATAAATGTACAGTATTAATCTATGAATCTATAAATAATAAAGTATGCATAAGTCTATCAGTAAAAACATAATAAGGGTAGACATGCTTTTCCGATTATACGTTATTACAACTGATTCGTTAAAAAGTGGAATCTTAACCAAGATCATTGCAGAAAAATAATAGATAAATGTATTCAACAGTGTTAATCTTTGAACAATGTGTATAAGTCCATCAGTAAATATTATCACATTTCTAATTATTTTCGAAACTAACTGATTTCACATCGGTCACCAGTAAAGCCATCAAAACCGCAGTGGCAAATAAAGCTACCAATTGCATTTTCGCAGAAACCGCCATGAAGACACGGCGAAGAAGCACATTCGTTAATTTCACTTTCGCAGTTTGTGCCGTTATATCCGTTAGTACAATTGCACCGGTACATGTCAAACATATCGATGCAGGTACTATCATGGAAGCAGGGGTTGGATAAACATTCATTGGTTTCTGATTATACAAGATAGAGAATTGAAAAATTAATTTGAATGTATATAAGTTTAATATCAGTGCGTCGTTTTTGATACAATTACTCTTATATTGTATAGGTATTTTAAGTTTTACTACCTTGCAGGCATTGCTTGCCTTCCCAGCCACTTGTACAATTGCAATGATAATCTCTTATCTCATCGATACATGTTCCATTATGGTAGCAGATAGCTGATTGGCAGTTATCGATATCTATGAAGATAATAAATATGATTATTTAATCTAATCTATATAATAAATTTTTAATCGTAAACTGTCTTATAAAGCTAGGAAAACCAAGATTATATCGTTTTTTAGCATTCGTCTCATATTAACTTCTATTAGTGATAGAAGAATTTATAAACTCACTGCTTTCACAGTTAAGTCCAGTAAAGCCTGTGTTAAAACATTGACACACATAAGCATTAATCAGATCGATACAGGTGCCGTTATTACGGCATGGCATCGATAGGCATTCGTTAATATTGGTTTCACAATATATTCCCGTAAAGCCAGAATTGCAAATACATGAATAATTATTAATGGAATCATTGCACATTGCATTATTCAAGCAAGGCTGGCTGGCACATTCATTAATATTTGTTTCACAGTTTGAGCCAGTAAAACCAATGTTACAGTCACAAAAGTAGCCATCTATGGAATCACGGCATCTGTAGCTGTTGATGCATGGATTACTTGCACATTCGTTGATATTAATTTCACAGTGGATACCAGTAAAACCTGCTGGACACTGACAGTTATATTGATCGATTCCATCCATACATAGTCCGCCATTTATACACGGCGATGATAGGCATTCATCGATGTTAACCTGGCAAAACTTTCCTGTAAATCCAGCATCGCATGTACAATTAAATTTATTAACGAAATCGGTACAATTGCCCTTATTCTGGCATGGATTGGAGACACATTCGTTGATATCTACGACCGAACGCAGTCGAATTTACGGTTTAAATTAGAATGAACGTAAAATTAGTTCAAGTTAAAGAGACTAAGCGATCAAATATTTAATAAATCACTTGCAATTTTACCTGTTTGACAATTTTGGCCAGTATAACCAGGGCTACAATGACACCAATAAGTATTAATGCCAGTATTGCTGCATAATCCTTCATTATCGCATGGTATATTGTTACAATATTGCAAGTCTGAAAATATTCAATCGATTCTATTAGTTGTGGTAAGGTACTGGATTAGATTAGCTAAATAATTATATTCTTATGGTAACATTATAATTGTAAAGCATGTTGTAAGTTATCCGATGGGGTGGTCGAGAGTTCTAAATAATTTAAGTGATAATTTTCTTTGAAATTTATTGTTTAGCACTTTATTTATTTACGGTTTGTAAGCAAAATTATATGGTGTTAGCATATCGTTACTACCCACGAATCCAGCGTAGAGTAGTTATGTATGACCTCCGGAACCCTCAAACTGATTCAAATTGAAAATATCCGTATAGATTTAGCTGTGCCCTCAGCTTTAATGATAGCCCCATAAGGCACTTATATAGACACTTAACAGAAGAATATTGGCATAGAGATGGGAACCCAATAAATGTACGTATTCCTTTAACATTTGAATGAAGCTGCCGGACCTTAAATTTTAGGCTTATGATAGAGTTGAAATGTGTCAACTTGGACTTTTCGATATTTAAGGATATATATATGTATTCTAAATGATTTATGATACTTGTCTGCTTGATGTAAAAGTAGTGCTGTTGAAGAAAGTTTATCATACTTATACGATTCATGTCAAATCGCTTAGAAATTGCAATAGCTATGAATTAGTTTTTGTAATGAGCACATAAACCATTTCTTATCAAATTTCACAGTTAACTTTAGCAGAGTAATAGCATACCTCCAGTACAAGTAGTTCCAGTCCACCTTCTAGAACACTGACAACTGAAACGATTAACTCTATCGATACACGTGCCGCTATTTCGGCAAGGCTGCGACAAGCATTCGTTAATATCTGTGATAAAAATATTTATCATCCACTGGATAGGATATTCTAATACTTAGCAATCGCAAATAATAAATCTAGTTATAGTGTGTTTATTATACTTACTTGTTTCGCAGTTTTTTCCAGTAAAGCCGGCATGGCAGGTACAGTTATAGCTGTTAGGGCCTGTGTTGGTGCAGGTAGCACTGTTTTGACATGGATTACTTCGACAGCTGTTTAGATCTGTTAGGACAGAATTAGAAAGCTTAATCATGTTATAGTCGCCCCAAGTATGAGTTTGTAATAAAGCACTGTTTTTATCCCTACTAGGGAACAGTTCCGCAATAAATCCTTTTCCAATATTAGTAGATAAAAAGAGTTTGTTATTTAAAATTATTGCTAAATGTTACAATAGCAAACTTAGACCATATAAGCTATAAACAAGTAGATCTCAGACTGAAATTCCTTCCGCATTATCACTTAAAGCTACAGGTATCTTCTCTAAAGTTATTCACTAGCGGCACTCGACTATCTTAACGCCTAAATGTAATATCCTTGACATCGCTAATCCACTCAGGTCTAGCGCCGCGTCTTACTTATGATCATGGGGTTCTCACTATAGACACTATTTCCTATACACGAGCTCTGTGATGAACAAATATTGCAAGGTATAATAATCAAATTCACGCGTACAAACCATTTTCGCAATGGACTCCTGTCCATTCAGCTGAACACAAGCAGGTATAGCGATTAACGGCATCGTCACAAGTACCATGCCCACTTACACACGGATTAGATGAACATTCATTAATGCCTATCAAGATAAAATTTTGTTAATATTATTTCCGATTTTTGAGGAGAAGGATGGTACTTGGAATAAATACATGATCAGGATGTCGTTAGGAAGCTTAAAATTAACATTTCATTGAGATATCAAAGCTACTGTGTGCAATCGTGCAGCTATATGAAGTAAAATATACATGCTTTTGCATATGGTATTTTAGAAAAGATGCATCCTGATATCGTTACCGATAGGAATGATAGAGATTTTAACCATACACTATAATAGAGTATGTAAGAATAAAATGCATAACGATAGTTTTTAAAAATATATTTAGCTACACAAAATAATCAACCAACCCGTTCCGCATTGCGAGCCGGTGAAACCAGGTGCACAACTGCAGTTATACGTATTCAGTCCGGTATTTTGACAAGTAGCACCATTTACGCATGGATTATTACGACATGAATTTAGATCTATAAATTCAACAAATAGCGTAGAATTACTTTAGATCAGTGATCGATTCTAAGTACAAGTTGTAATTACTGTATATAACAATGATTTGCTTTTCAGACAGCATAGTAATGCGTAGATCATATCAAGAAAAAGCTGTTTACCATTTTCGCAAAGGGTGCCCGTCCAATTAGTTGTGCAGTGGCACGTAAATTTATTAATGTCATCGATGCAGGTTCCTGAATTTAGGCAGGGTTTGGTATGACATTCGTTGATATCTGAAATAATCGTTATTTCTAGTTTAGAACACTGCATTTATAACAAATTTTTCAAGTTAATGACGAGAAGCTATGATATACATTATTACAGTAGTTGACTGTAATATAAGCCAATCTTAAAATTAGACTGTGATGTTACTAACTATTTTCGCAGTTAGTTCCATTGAAACCATTAGGACAGTCACACTTATATTTATTGGGTACAATGTCAGAACAATTTCCTTCATTCTGACATGGAGAAATTCTACAGGCATTATTATCTAAATGAAATAGATTAGAATGATCATATTAGAAACATGATCTTTCCCTCGTTTGCAAATAGTCTCAACCTTTAAGTATGCAGATCATAATGATCATCAATCGCATAACCTGTCTGGATCTGTATTTGTACCTACCATTTTCGCAGTTAGTGCCATTAAAGCCTACATTGCATAAGCATAGGAAGCCATTTACTCGATCGCTACAAGTAGCATTATTATCGCAAGGGTTTGAGGAGCATTCATTGATATCTGTTATATCAAAGGTAAAAAATTTAGATCTACGGAGAAACATACAAATATTACCCTTTAAACCTACATTAATAATTGCAATATGCAGCAGCTTAGTCTAGCCTATAAAACTTAATAATCTAGAGCTATTTATCTAATTCGTAGAGTTTTCATGAACTACAATCGAATAAAGAACAATTGAATACAGTTTTCTAGCTGATAATTTTGTGTCTTGCAGATATTAGCTAACTGCAAACAACGTTACAATAGTACAGTGACATAATAGTTAAAACAGATATGAATGTTTTGCCAGATATATAAAATAACATATGACTTACTGAGTATGCTAATGCACAGTAACATAATAGTAAAGGCAGACATAAATATTTGTCAAATATATAAATTAACGTACGACTTACTGGACGTGCTAATGCACGATGACATAATAGTCCAGACAGACATGGATATTTATCAAATATATATGCTAAAGTATGACTTAATGAAAGTGCTAATATAGATATAGTAAAACAAAGAAAAACTAATAAAGTATCGGTCTATTGATTATGAAAGTATCATATGCAGCAAGATGATATTATATTGAATAAATTGTTTTTGTAATAGCACATATTGAATTTACCAGTACTATGACAATAAATGGCATCAACGTACTTGTATTGCAATTGCTACCAGTAAAACCTGGCAAACAACCACAAGAATAGCTATCAGGTAAGACATTAGTACAGTTTCCTCCATTTTGACAAGGTCCCAGTCTGCATTTATTATTATCTATCACAGTAAATTAATCCGAATTAAGTCAAAAATTTAAATATCCTATTGATGATCATGATCATGATATTAACCAACAGAATACTAACCATATTGACAATTTGGACCACTGTAATGATCTCTACAGATACATTCATTAGCATTAACACAGTAGCCATTGGCTAAATTTTATCAAACGAAAAATGCAAATAAGATGAGTAGATAGTCTTTACATTACGTTTATATCTACCCCTTTTATGGTTACGATAGGGTAACAAATGAATTGCTACAATGCTGTACATACCAATGTTATCAAACGAAAAAAATGAATAAGACGAGTAGATAGTCTTATGTTACGTGCATTTAGAACCCCCTTTAATGGTTACGACGAGGCACGGAATAAATTGTAATAGTACTAAACATACTCAATGTTACTGAACGAAAAGTATAAATGAGATGAGTAGATAATCTTACCCTACGTACAATATATCCCTTTTAATGGTTACGATGGGGTAACGAATTAATTGCAATAGTACTGAACATGTTCAATGTTACTAAACGAAAAATACGAAGACGAGTAGATACTCTTACTGTACGTGTGATATAATCTCTACATTAATGGTCGTAATGGGGCAATCAATGAATTGCAATAATACTGAACATGTAATATCACAATATTGATGGACAAATAATATAATTTAAGAAAACGTTGCCACGGCGGAGGAATTTTATCAAATGCTAGCCAAAGAACGCATTCGGGATGTTAAATCAATAACATTTCAAACACTTTTATGAGTAGTAAACGGACCTGTACAGCCTTCTCTTTTAACGCAAGTGTTGCAAGTATTTCCAGTCCAGCCATTAATGCATCTTGTTTAGAAAGTGTCAAGGTTTCTATTAACATTATACTAATCGGTTGTATTATTATATATATAAGTCCTAATGCTAATAAATTGAATAATGCATTAATTGAAGTTAACAAGTTTCCAATATTAACTTACAAGCACTGCATCGGGCTGTTATGACAGTTGCCATGCAATAGATTGCATCCTGTTCTACATATTGCTATTAAAATAGGTGATAACTTTTAGTACAGCACTTATCTGAGATAGAGTATATTTATCCCCTACTTTTAATCAAACGTGATATTATAATTTATCTTACCTTGATCACAGACAGAACCTGTCCAGTTAGAATTGCACGAGCAAGTATATGAAGTTACACCATCGATACAGGTTGCACCGTTTAAACAAGCATGTCCAAGGCAGTGATTGATATCTAAAGTTAATGAGAAATTTGAAATAGGTTGATCAAACATAGGTTACGTAGGAATTGCAGTTATTATTGGTGAAAGAGAATAAAATCTGAAGCTGCAATCATTTTATCATTCTAGCAGCTTTTGGAGCCCTTGTTTGCTAAATGAGTAAATCAAGAAATAAATAAATCTAAAACTAATGGTCTCGGTAACTGTTTCTAATAAGAATGCATCAAGCAAATAGAAACGTATTTTAACTGTACAAGCGATTATTTAATGAGTTGTTAATTCATTTTTTAAGTTTTTTATTCCTGTATCTTCTCTAATGACTTGTAAAGCCCCAACAATTATGCCAATGCCTGCTTTAGTAGATTTCCGTTATATTAAAGCTAATCATTTTGATTTGGAAAATCATTTTATAGATACCAATCTGCTACCTGTTTGACAATTTTTGCCAGTATATCCAACAGGACAACTACATGCATAGACATCAGGACCAATACTGGTGCAAGTACCTCCAAATTGACATGGATTGGATCTGCAGCTATTTAAATCTATAATAATGAATGATTTATTCGATTAGGGTAACATCAGACTAGATGGGATATAATACTTGCGTTGGCTATGTTTCGCTAACATGTGATGTTGATATACTACGGAATAATTGCACCTAAGCAATAATGTATGCGAGTACTATCACAAAGAAGCTCAATTGATAAAGGCAAAGTATCAAATTTCACTAAAAATGCTCAAAATCCGATTCGATCAAAAATGACTTAAATCGATTACTAGGCTATGGCTATTTCAGAATAATAGTTTCTGTAGAATACCTTTATCGCAATTTCTTCCTGTCCAGTCAGAAGGACAAATGCAAGAATAATTGGTACCCGGCAAATCCACACATGTTGCGTAAATATGATTGCAAGGTCTCGATAAGCAGTCGTTGTAATCTAGTAATAAACCAGGAATATTCTATTTAGAAGCAGACTATAATTGTTAATTTGAGCTGGTTTAATATGCTTTACATCCTTACAACCTATATACAGGATCTATGGAAATTTAGTAGATCGTACATTACAAGAATTATCAAGTAGAGGATATATGGCGATAAAGCCGTCATAGATCGATTGATACTTGAGTTAACCAAAGAGTATTGAATATAAAAATCATACTTTCACAATTAGTGCCGTTATAGTTATCCGGGCATTCGCATTGGTATTTTCCTGCTTTATGCGATGTGCAGATCCCGCCATTTACACAAGGGTTATTCATTCGACATATATTTGCATCTGTATTAGAAGTAAGAACCGATCAATAAACTGTTACAATTCTTATTCTGGTAATCATGGCTAAATCACAGTATTTTGGACTGTATTGCTAAATATAAGCTGAAATATTCCATATCTTTTATTATCATAACCTTACTAAATATTAGACGAGACTGATCTATCAATAGACTTTATGCTCTCTATAATGACTTTCGTAAGGTGGAAAGCTTATATTTAATAATTTCTTATACAAAGTATGGTTTGCTGTAATTAATAAGATACTGTACTTTTAAATTATGTTTTAATTATTTAAATAAATATGAGTAACCAAATTATTTGTAAACGTAAAAATTTGATCTTAGCTTAATCATTTTTTACTTTATCGCGAATTACACGTACAATATAAGTTCAGCAATTCCACTTCTAACTAACCTATCTCGCAATTATAACCTATCCAATCGCCAGGGCATTGGCAAGTATAATTGTGTGGGTTATTTACGCATGTAGCGTAGACATGTTGGCAAGGATTTGACATGCACGGTGTATAATCTAGATGATAGTTGGATAACATAGTGAAAGAAATAATAAAATTAGTAATATCATGAAATTTGGTTTCGATAAAAAATTAGTTTAATGAAATGCAACTTGGTTGATTGATATGACTAGAGTAACTAAGTTACATTACAAAGTTTTCTTACTTTCACAATTTTGGCCTGAATATAGAGATGGACATACGCATCGATAAGTAGAAGGGCCTGTATTTTCGCATGTTGAGCCGTGCTGGCAAGGATTGTTTGATCTGCATACGTTGGTATCTAAAATTGATTATTTCAAGTTGAGTTACGAATGATTGGAGCAAAAATACTATATTTAATCCTTATTACTAAGCTATGAAACATTAAAGATTAATAAATTGCCACTTAATATCGTAAATCTCCATTAATCCCTATTCTTACAATAAATTAGTATTCATTCATGATACACAACTATCCTAGCGGCTAAAACTGCTATTTAAAATTTGTATCACATTATTGATCCTACACGATCTTATATCACACTATCGATCTGTGATTCCATTCGACGATGGTATGTGGCATCTGTAGTATTACAGATAATTATATGTTTGCTTGTATGTAATTATAACGGGTGAAATACATCGTATTGGTTAATTTATTAAGCAACCTATATCACAATTGGTTCCTGTCATATCAACTGGACAATGGCACACATAGCCACTTGGAGTATCCACACAAGTTGAACCAGTACCAATACAGGGATTGGATTGGCAAGGAATATGAGCTGCAAACATCGGAAATTGAATAAATGGATCATATATAATATCGATACTTTAATATTAGATATAATGGTTGTAGAATTAAGAAGCTATAATATGTCTAGACTAACATTGACAGGTACTCCCAGTATAATATTGTGGGCAAACACATTGATAGCTGGTTGCATTAACAAATTGGCAAGTTCCACCGTTTTGGCATGGAGAATTTGTTCTACATAGGCTAAGATCTATCAACAAACGTAGCAAAGATTCTCATTAAATTAAGACTATTAAAGTGAAAAGGCTGTGACGTTATATGTGTAATAAGCTGACTTAATGATGGACACTTAATACGAGATGATGAAGACTATATGGATCAGTTTTTGCATATTATCACCGATTTAGAGTCTAGCCTATTTTATTATATTAATTATTTTAGATTTAATCAATTTGTGCAATAGTGGAATATACTAATTGTCACTGGAGAATATTTGCTGAAAAGAATAACAGACCCTGTTCACAGTGAGTCCCAGACCAATCTTGAGGGCAATGGCAGGTATAACTATTACTTCCAGTTGAACAATTGCCTCTATGAAGGCATGGATCCGAGAGACAACCATTGTAAGCTAATGAGTTTAAAGTTTAGCATTCAAACTATGAGTGCTTTGAATCAATATGTTTGTGCTATTTACAACTGAGAAAGTTTAAAGCCACGAAATTGATATTATTTATGAAGATCTCAAATTTGTCTTTAGTTTACTGTTAACCACATATTAGATCCAATTGCATGCGCTTACACACGCCAACATTTTATATAACGTAGATTCTATATCATATAAGATTGCCAATGCTATGGCTATCAAGTGATACTTTAGATCCATGATATGTAACAGCCTAAAATCTAAATATACTAGAATAAATATACTCTTACTATCGCAAGTTTTTCCTGTAAATCCGGGAAGACAGGTACATGAATATTGATTAACATTGGTAAATTTGCATGTTGCACCGTTCAGACATGGGTTATTGATACGGCATATATTGTTATCTAATAACATTGTATTCAAAATCATATAAATATTTGGTCATCATCAATAAATTTGATCTAATCCTCTTAAAATGCAATATATAGAATACGCAATAGGATTTAAAAGTCCACGCTAGTAAAATACAAAATCTGCGAGAAGATTTGCAATGTAATGCATACTTACCTATCGAATGTAAATAGAATGCTACTAACCTATATCACAATTTTTTCCTGTCCAATCAGATGGACAGACACATCGATAACCGTTCACCAAATCAATGCAGGTGGAATAAATATGTTTGCAAGGTCCAGATGCACATTCGTCAATATCTAGAACGGAGAGTTAATAATGTATTTAATGCGTCCATAGGTGACAATTAAAATACAAGAACGAAATAAAAACTGTTGGTAATTGATAATAGATATTGCAAAATTTTATTAAAAAATGGAAATGTATGTATCCTAGAAATCGGCATTACTTGTTTCACAATTGACACCGGTATATCCAGTAAGGCAATGACATTTATAAGCGTTAGGTGCAGTGTTTATGCAGTTTCCTCTACCTTGACATGGTGAACTGCGACAGCTAATTAGATCTGGAAAGGATTAAGAAGGAACAAGTAAATAAGAAGGGAAGAAATAGTTTGCTTGCTACCATAAGTGTTCTATATTCTATTTAGAAATCTCAAAAGTTTTGACGGAAATTGAGAAGTATCTTTATTTCTTAAATGAAATAGAGATACGGTGAGTTAATTATACCTATATCGCAAAGGCTTCCCATCCAACTATTTATACATTTAACTTCCATCTCGAATGTAAAACTAGATGGATTAGTGGGGCGACTTCCAGTCATGGTAATCGTTTGCTTAATACCAGCCGATATGGTAATATCTTTTGTTAAATCATCGACTCTATTATTGCCTACTTCTAAGAATGAGTCTTCATCGGTAACGTTAATAAAGAGCTGGAATTGGCCCTATTAAAATTAAAATAGATATAAAAGGTATTAACTGATGTATCAGAAATTTATAAAATGCGCCAGTTGATGTTGACATAGAGTTGATTGATCATAATATCCACGCAAATTGCTAGTGATTCCTTTTCTGTTTGTCAAAGTTGAAAGACTTAAAGAATGAAATCAAAAACTGTTCTAACGTAACAGATGCTTAAATATTCTGTTAAGTTTGGAAACTAATAGCAAACTGGAGTAAATGCTATGCATGGACATAAATATTATATTGCATCCAATATCGTAGAATATGAACTGATGATTAATAAGCTCATATGCAGAGCAAATGATTGATCTGGCACATACTTTTTTATAACGTTAATTCAATTATTGCTTTGAAGTGCTTGCCTATTTTGATTAGAGAAACATATACTTAATTTACTCTAGGTGCATGATAACTGGACGTAGTTTAAGTAATGCCAGATTACTGCTTGATGAAGCAAGTTCTGCAATTTCTTACTGTAATTTGTAGTAATAATCGATTATGATAGATTTTATGAAATAGCAAATTTAAGAAACCACAGTGGACAGTATCTTAACTCTCAATTTATTGATATCTTAGGCCTATTTTACTTTTAAAGTTTCCTTATTAAACTAATTTTAACTATCTATGCATGATATATTATAAACAAATTTCTTGAATTCGCTTTGTTTATGACTTTATGTGTACGTAAATCATCGTAAATCATTTTTTTTTCTTTCATGCTAGTTAAGGATATTATTGTTGTAACTTAGATGCAATCCAACATTAATTTTAATTATAAAACTTAAATGAGATATTTTAATTTTACATAATATTTTACTTCCTAAATATCTAAATCATTTACAATCTACTAATAGTATCTCTAGCTTAGAATAAGGCGATATATTTGGGATGAAATAACTATCAGGGTATGATGAAACCTAGATATACTGCATAATTAGTTGATATTGAGATAAATTATATTGTAGCTAGCCGTTAATTAATTGGTACTAGTAAACTTACAGGCCATAGTCCGACAATTGGAGCGCTATATGGGTTAGTGATGGTAATTGCCCCATTGGTCAATTGCTCACCCACTTGAAAAGTTTTCGTCTCGCCAACATTATCAAACGATTTAGTCGTAACATCCCCATAAACGCATGATGGTCCAGAGTTAGTTTTCCGGCCGCAAAAATTAAATATATAGTCACAAGATGAGAAAGTATCGCACTTTTGGCCATTATATAATATCTCTTGAGGATTATGATAACTTATTAACTTCATGCTTATGTTAGCCTGCACGGAAGTTGCATTAGCCTGAATGAAACAGAAATAGTAATATATTGATAAGGTATAGATGTTACCATCAGTATATATTAGACTGGAAAGGCGATTAATCTTTAATATCGCTTTCTGTAGCTAATATCTAAAAATTTCTATACTTAGTGAAATAAATCAAACTACCTGCAATTAATTATCGTACAATCATTAAGTTTACTTTGTTGGCGTAACGTTTATAGTCACTAATAAGCTACGTTGATGTTAATGAAAGTAACGGAAAAGAAAGAAATTATTTGACAGGTATTTCAAAAGGATCAATAACGATAATGAACTCTGTAACTTAACATTGATACTGTAGTATTGGACTATAACGTAAGGTTTATAGTAAACTGAGAGCACGTCCAGGATAAAATTAGTTGCGTTATTTTATAGATAAAGATTTAGAAAGGAAGAAAATTCTATACAATTCTTGACTAATTTTTTATAAATGCGTGTAGAAATAGGAATAATAGAATGCTCTTCTAGATGTAGGATTATCTTGAATTGTATTTAAATACCATGCTACCTTAAAATGTATCTTAATATTATTTTAAACTATCTATTTATATAAATACTGTGCATTTTATTTGTCAGCTAAAAGACGAGGTTCACCGTGAAGCAAAATGATTACTGTATTATAATCCATCAACTTAGTAAACATAATCATGCTTAGAGTCAATCATTATCAGCTAATCTTACCGTAGATGCCGTCGATAGAAAGAAAACTGAGGCGAAAAAATAGATTAAACGATTCAGTTTCATCTTTAAGTAATGGATATGTTGGAATAAAGATGAAGTTAAAAGCTTAAATGGTTTAAAGTTAATTAATAAGGGAGTTGAATTTAATAATCTGATTCTAAAGTTAATTATATTGATAAGGAATAGTTAGACTTGAACGTTTAAAACGCTAAAACATTTCTGAATACGTAGCGATTAATTTGACATTCTTGCCTTGATTTCCATATTTTTTTACTAATACTAAAAGACAAGACGACTAATAAACAATTTTGAATTAAAGCGAACTGCTTTCCTGATGATTTTTCCCTGATATAGGGATTGATTAGCGGAAGTTAACTAATCGATTAGGTAATATTAGATGACCTAACTATTGAAAAACCCAGGGGATAAATTGTTCTTGATGCTTTCTACTAACTATTAGTTGTATTGATTACACAAACAAAGATTTACTATCCAATAGCATTGGATATAGAATATTACTATTCATATTATGAAGGCATAGCTAGTAGCTCTAATACTTTAATATAGCGCTACAGTACTAATGTGGTTGTTGTTATGATTATTCTTCGGTTCTACTGTTGATGATAACAGTGACGTTAGCAGCGTTATTGTTATTCCTTTTTTATATAATAATAAATTATTTAGTCAGCCTTTATGGATGAATATTTATTTAACTCTTAAGGTACAGCAAGCACCTTGCTCCCCATACAAAAATTATATTGAAACTGATAACTTTAGTTTTTCTATCATTGACAGTCGTCAATCACTTCATTTGCTGCATTTCATGTAGAAAACAGCTCATCAGCTGTTCATCAATCTGTTTTTTTAAGGTGTGTCCTTCCTCTAAAGATATCCGAAACATGTCTATTGCATAATTTAAGAGTCGAAAAATAATCGAATTCTATTCGGAAACGGTTACTTTTACGCACATTCATAGAACAGGAATCATAATAGCATAACAGTAATATCACATGACGAATAATTTAGAACTTACTATTATTATTATAATTAAATTACAAGTGAAGGCATGATGTCATAGATAATTGCGATGCGGTAGCAATAGACTGCATGAAAGAGAGTAAAGGATCATTAAGCAATAATGGCATAGACGGTATGGTACAGAACATCCGGATGTGGCCCGTATATTGATCGATATAATGCATATAATATAATATAATTATATAATGATATAATTATTCTTACAATTATTCTTAATTACTTTATCGTTATTGGTAATTATCGTTCAAGATTAGAATAAGAAAGAGAAATAATAACAATAGACGCCATCTCTTCATTAACACACTTGATGATAGTATAATTCTCTTGTTTTTCAATCATATGACTTAGGTCTTCCCACTATGGCATCCGTAGTCAATATTTCAACACAAGAGTGTTAATTGATATTTATATCTAACTCTGTTAAACTAGGATTAATTTCTCAACTCTTGATACTGTTCAATGTTTTTTACCAACAAAGTCAATAATAATTTATAGTCCCATCCACGAGATCAACTATCGTAGTTATCTTCATCTTTCTTATACGTTACTGTATTGTAGCTTTTTCAGAAACCTAATGGCATACGAATATATAAAGAAAAGCGTAATCAAAGCCAATTTATGGCATTTTTATGAGATTTTAATCAAAACAACATGAAGCAAAAATGAGTGTTCATATTTAATACCATTTCAGTTGTAGAGCTCACGATATAAAATATTCGTAGCTTACTAAAAGCTTATGCTTGATAAGAATTTAAAATATAAGAGGCACGAATACTGTATATTATTTATTGATATCATAAATAATAATATTAGCATCCTTTATACAATAACTGGCATTCCTAGTAAATGTTGACAAATTGCGTAAGTATAAATAGTTCCGAGAACAATTTCATTATATCTATATTATCGTATCTTCATCGAAGCCATATGGTGGTTTTCGTAGCTCTTTAAATTAATCTCTTACAGAATTATGCTGACATTTTATTCCAGTTTTAGATCTATAATTGGAAATTGACAAAATTTTTTAAATAAATAGGAGAAGCCGTTATTAAGATATAACTAGATAGAAATAGATTCGGAATATGTTTCTATCAGTAGAATCTTAGTATTTACCTTATACTAGCGATAAAAGGCTAAGCGCGAAAAATATTGCGTATACGGTATGATATACTTTAATTGTTGATATCAAGGTGATTGCTATATATCTACACCTTAATGAAGGTGCATTAGTACTGGCCGTAAAAATAATGCTCTTGCTACAGCAGTATTCTCAGTTGTAGATATAGTAGTGATATTTAATAACATGTACATATTATGCAAGATGGAACATCGCACGCATTGCGTCCTCGAGAGAAATAAAATATTCAACTCCTAAGATGAAGGTCTTATTACTGTAGTATTCATCTTTGTCATATGATGATGATAATTGCAAATGGTACATTGAAATAGTTTTTATTCCAGCGATATCAATTGTAATTCTAACATTGTAAAGTGAGCTATTTGCTCATCTTAAAATATCTACTTAGAATTAGAATTATTGAAGTAATCCGAGATGTAATTACATCTGTTGAGCCTACATAACTATCACAAATGTTATATTTATAGAAAACAACGATTTTAGCTACTAGTTTGAAAGGATTTGTTGCATATTACATAAGATATCAAAATAAGTTTGCCAAAAAGAAATTGAATCTACATTTTCAATGTATATAATAACTACTAGTGCTGAAGCAATGACTTAAAAATGTAAAAAAATCTACAGAAACTTATAACCGTGTTAACATTATGTATATGTTAGATAAATGACAGGGATCAATGTCTACATGAACTGTAAGCTTCACTACTTTAACGCTATACTAGCATCAGATTAGCTTTTAATCTAGTCGTTTTGACAGCAGAATATGATACTTTATTAGCTTACATAACTCCTGCAAATTTTAAAAATAATACGATGATTAATCTGTTATAGTTACAATTTTTAAACACATAATTAAAAGGTGATTATATTTATCTACTCGGGAATGACCGATTCCCAGGATTGACCGTAACATAATCACATATGATTTAATTCATGGTGAAGCTATTAATATTTATCCACTCGGAAACAAATCTATAAGAATTTTGCTTGAATTTATTTGAGCTTACAGAAATAAAAATTATACTTTTTAAATCCACTTATTTCAAGGTAACTCCTGAAAAAGATAAAATATAAGGGTTTAAATAACGATTGCAAGAAAGACTAAATGGGTTATAGAAAGATCAGAATTATCGTATTTGCTTCCTAGTTTTTAAATTACTTTGTGCCTGTCCATTTACCTTTGCCCCATATTTGGCTATTTATAATGCACTATTGACGCGAGCAACATTATCGATCTTAGTTGTCGATTTGCTGTCTACATCAGCTTCATAAAAAACGGGACTCTCATAGCGCTGGTTTCGACCATCAAAAGTAACTTCCTCTCGTATCTCTGAGGATATCATTCGGGCATCATCATCTTCGCCAGTATTTCCTCTTTTAAAATGAAATTTTCGAAGCGTACGTGCTACAATAACTGGGGATCCACGTCGATAACGAAGGTAAACTAAACCAACTATGATGGCAACAGCAACTACTGCAGATATTGAAGCAACTATAGGTACAACTGGTGATGCACTTCTAGTATCTAGAAGAGAAGCACTTATAGATTAATTACTGAAAATTGCTACAGTGGCCTATATATATTACACAAAGAAATCGATCATGACGTATTGCTGTCCTTAATAAGTTGGAGACATAGTATGAACTAACAGGTTTGCTAAGTATAGTTATTAGGAAAAAATTTACTTGAAATTATTATCTGTTATGGTATGAGATGATTACTGTATATATGTACAAGTATCAAATCTTGGACTAGTAAAAAGCTAAATTGATGACATAGAAGTAATATAGGGTGATATAATTATTTAAGAATAGTATGGAAGCGTATAATCTAAGATGAGCATAGCTGTTAAAATATAGCAATACATATCATATGAACGGAGTAAAATATGCAGACTGTTAAAGTATACTGCGGGATCTTTCAGTTTCAAGGTTTATTGCTAGACTCCTCAGCATCAAGATTTTCTTTTACTAGTGGTAATTGCTACACAAACTAAACTCATTATGATATCCAAACTTCACAATACCTTGAATTGCAGTTACAGAAATAGGCGTTTTCGGTACAGTTAGCGCAGAGAGGAATGCAGCTGTAGGATTCTTCTTAAGGTAAGCAACTAAAGCATTCATAACTGCACTGGCTAGGCCAGGGTATGAACTTTTCTATACAAGCAAGAATTGAAGAGAATGATATAGGATCAATAGGACGAAAGCGTTTTCTCGTAGCTTTGCTGAACTAATATAAATTCATCACGCATCAAAAAATTCCGTATCAAATTTAATTACCATAACTATTGCAAAAACCGGTTTCGAGTTAATTTGCCCAACAACTGCACAATCGATATACAGTTGATTTGTTCCAGCAGTCGGAGCAATTATCGATAAGTTACGAACATGATCACAAATGTCTGCAGCTGTGGCTCCCTAGCAAGCAATGTAATAGAACCATCATTATGTACTACCTCCGTTTACATATGTATATATATATATATATATCGACAGCAATACTTGAAAGATTCAGTAGCGATAAAAACTTTCAAGCTCAGATTTACCATAATTAATTTCTTAGGATCAACATAGACTAAGCTACGGTAGCAGCCACCTGGTAATGGGGATGTAATTGATTTTACTAAGCAATTAGTTCCCCATTTCGTTGCGTTACATGCCCCTACTCCACTTTGACATGGTGGTCGTATACAAAAATCAGGGCCATATTTAGAGCAAAATGTATTGTCGGGACATTGATGATGATTAGGTGAATTAGTGAGACAATAAGTAGGTCCACACCAAACCTAAGTAGCGCAATTTCGTATTATTCGATATAGGATAGTACGTCAATAATTCAGTCAATATTGATCAAGAATAATTTTTGAATATGAATATGAAATCAACGAAGCTAATTTAAATTACTTATCCCTAAGCTTTGATACCTGAGTGCATACAATATTGGTAATTGAGCACAAGCAATTGTTACATTTTTCTCTGAAGGATTGCTTATCCGTAAAATTATTATTATTAGCATCCGTACATCCAGTGTTTACAGCTATTAAAAGTTAAGAAAATGTACGCACTTAGAGATTATTACTTGTTCGTGTAGGATAAATTAATAAAAGTAGTAAAATCTATATAATTTCCATATCCATGATAGGAAATGAGCTACATCAAAACAACAGAAATAATAGAATTCTAACGCTTGTATCATAATTTCTTGAAGGCTACTAGTATACTGTAAGCGTGGTTATAAAATTTTTAATCTTACAAAAATCAGTTCCATCATAAAGTAATTTACAGTTAATGAAGTGCTATTATCGTGCTTGTAAAATATTATATTCAATATTAAGAACTTTCAGACTTTAGCAAACTAGAACAAAATCGCATTAATGCGATAGTACGTACGTATATCATGCTATATTCGGCGAAGCCTCTATGAGTTTCGTTAGTAAATATTATTATTTAAAGCGTAAATAGTCAAGATTATCGAGATTCTATTTTAAAACTATTATTAAAGATGCAAGTATTCTATTTTGTTGTTGTTTTTATTTAAAAAGGAATTGATTAACTAGGATTAGTACAGTAATGATGCATGGAATAATTTCAAGTTATTTAACATCAATTAATGAATAAATTACCTGTTTCACAATTATTGCCAACGTAAGGAGCTGTGCAACTGCACTTATACTTATTGATTCCATCAACGCAAGTACCTCCATGTTGACATGGCGTAGAGGCACATTCATTAATATCTAGAAGTGAATACGTAGCAATGATTAAGCACTAATATCATCTAGACCAATTTGAATAGCTTGAATTCTACTATAAATTAATATGGCTGACTTATTTCACAATGTGATCCTGTGTATCCAGGTACACAGCGGCATAGATATCCTCCAGTTATATTTTGGCAAGATGCACCATTGAGGCATGGCTTATCTCGGCAATTTGTAATTTTGGTTTGACATGTTACTCCGGTATACCCGGGTCTAAAAATTTAGTATCGTTAATACTGTAGTATTGAAAGATTAAAATGCGATCTTTACTGATACGAAGACGCGCATATCCGTCATTTTATTAAGACCACATAGTGAATAACTTACCTGCATTTGCATGTGTAATGATTTACACCATCTAAACACATGGCATTGATTGGGCATGGAGAGCTACTACATTCGTTAATATCTACGGCAAATTTAAGCATAAGATACGATTACAATGCAATATAGTGATCAGAACTACAATTTATTCAGAATTAGAGAATTAAAACCTGACTGGCAGTTGTATCCTGTAAATCCAGCTGAACATTTGCATGAATAGGCATTTGGCCCTGTATTGGTACATGACCCTCCATTCGTGCATGGAGAATTATTGCAAGCTTTAATCACTGAGATAATAAATTAGTGTTATTTCAGAAATGGTAAATATAGTCGTTTTAAAAGTGTAAAGTCTGACCTATGTGGTTTCATGGAGAGACACCATGAAATTAACTCATGAGAGTAAATACATGTAGACATGTTTTGATGTTAAATGATATTAATTTTAAGTATTCTATGCTAGATGTACAGTAGTTAGGAATGTACTGCCGCTATTCAGAAGAAAAGGGCAATTATGATTTATATTAATCAATACAGTTACTAATGACACAGTCAATAAATTTAATGCTTATGAAATAATGTTCAACAGCATCTATACTTACTAGTTTCGCAAGATTTTCCAGTGTATCCAGGTTTACAAGTACAGACATAGCTGTTTCCTTGATTTCGGCATGTTGCGCCATTAAAGCATGGCTTTGCCGTGCATGAATTGATTGGAGTGCTACAGGTCGCTCCAGTAAATCCAGATCTAGAAATTGTGAGATATATATATATATGTTACGTATAAATATATGAGCTCATTTAGCCAAAAATGCTATTTATAATGGTTTTAAGAATAATTCATGTTTAGTTTGCAGACATGAGACGAGTATTCCTGCAAGTTGTAAGCAAAATTGAAAATAAGACTCACTGGCAACGACAGGTATAATTACCCAAGCCGTCAATACAAGTTGCATTTCCGAAGCAAGGAGAACTAGCGCATTCGCTAATATCTATAGCAAATACAAAATTTTGTCATATAGGCACTTTATTATAGAAGTACTATTGCGATAGCATCATAGACATCAAATTTTACCTGATTGACAATTACTACCGGTTAGCCCAGCAATGCAAGTACAAGTGTATTGATTGGGCTGAGTGTCTGTGCAAGTGCCACCATGTCTACATGGCCTATTGGCACATGAATTTAAATCTGCAAAACAAGGAGACATTAAATGAATAAGCTTAAGATTTAATGACAAATTTCGTCTAATAAATTGTTATTCTGAGGAATTTCTTTTGCGAGATTGTTGCATTGTATTGAATTTATCCGGATACTTACTTTGATTACAATATTTTCCCGTCCATTGCGATGGACATGAACATCTAAAACCACCAAATATGTTATAGCAAGTTGCATTGGTTGTAGGGCAAGGATTTCCATTAAGACATTCATTAATATCTGTCAACCGGATCAAATCTAAGATTAGTTTTCTCTTTCCGTAATTTACAAATATACATATATTACTAAACATAATCATTATTTCTGGTATGATCTGCTGATAGTTGTAAGTTCAGTCCTAAATTTGTATGCTATAGATTATATAAGTTTAACCTTTAATATTACCTAATTGCGCTTAAATTTTAAATTAATTTCTAAGATAACGAGAGTGCAAGCCTTGAGCTCGTTTGCTCATGTTATACTCTGAAGCCATAGATATCGGGTTTAAATGAACGCCGTATTTAGTTTAGTCATTGATATTTAGATCAAGAAAATGAGATAACAGTAAATAACGCCAGTAGCTCTCGATAGAAAGATCTACTTAAAAGTTTTACTAAGATTTGTAAAGATGTTTTTGATATCAGGCTGTATTTGAAGATGCAATTACATTGGCTTTTTTAGCCGATTAAATCAAGATTACTACTGCACTTTTAGAAGTGCATGGTGAATAAAACTGACCAGATTCACACTTCTTGCCGGTAAAACCTTTCAGACAGGCACAATAATATGATGACTGACCATTCACATGGCATTTTCCTCCATGAAGGCAGCTTACAGTAAAGCAAGGATCCAGTTCTAATATTATCAATAATAGGTAATTAAATCTATCCTTAGCTTAAATAGTTTAATATACAATAGGAAGGTTGCAACAAGTCTCTATACAATAGCCAAAATGGACTGATAAATGAGATACTATAAAAGGTGAAAGTTAGGAATAAAATTTACTTGTTTGACATTTGATTCCTGTGTAGTCCGTTTTGCAGGTGCAAAGGAAATTGTCGGCACCATTATTGGTGCAATTACCTCTACTACCGCATGGATTATGCCTACAGAAGTTTAAATCTAGATGGAAATAGAGAAAAATATGAATTTCTGTATACTGTACACCAAATTATTGTTGATCTTATAAATTGAATCATTGATTTGAATAACATTTCTTGACGGATTTAAAAGATGTTCTGGCGTAAGCAATAATCGTACCTTGAGCACATAATTTTCCTGTCCATTGGGGTGGACATGCACAAGATGCTTTGAAACCAACAACAGAACATGTAGCATTTCCATGACATGGGCTTGGAGTGCATAAGTTGGAGATATCTATGACAAAATGAAATAATTACTCTTCATGCAGCTTATATTTATCCTATTATCAACTGAAAAGCACCTGTTATGTATAATAAGCATAACTTTACTGAATTAGTTAAGCATCAAAGTACTATTCAACCTATTGTATCTAAATTCTTGCTATCTAAAGAAATACATACTTTTTATTTGCTACCTGTAAATATATAGTCTACAAAATATCATGTTAGTTATACAATGACTATCCAAGTACACATTATTTATATAGATGTAGATTTTAATAGCTTTATTCACTACAGTACTGTAAAGAATAAATATCTTATATATGCTGTCTCTAAATAAAAATTAATCTACTTAATACTACTTGTGTTAGATTATATTTTTACATCTTGATATGATGGGAGCACTATATCCACGTATTAGTGATGTATCAATATATGCGTATATATTGGTATATATCCAACTAGTTGTTAATACTACTATAACTCCACAACTACACATTAAGTAAATAGAAATAGATTTAATAACGTTACTCTCTATATTACCCTAGTTACTAAAAGAATTTTAACTGAGAAGAAATTGGTGAATTTATATGAGATAAATTTTATATTACCTGTTTGACAACTGGAGCCAGAATAACCTGCTTTGCAATTGCAGTGGCTTGTGGTTGCACTATCAATGACGCAAGAGCCCCCATTATGGCAGACACGATCGGCACAAGGACTGGGTGCTAAAGCTGTATTAATATAGGGAAGAAAGGAAGTCTTATTTAAATACTTGTGGAATAAATAGATTTGTTCCGTGTGACAGTGTTATATACTATATTAGATTAGAAATATCTATGTTACGATAATTTTGTTAGGCTATCCTTATTTAGTTAACTTCTAATTTGGATATACTGTATTTTAAATATAGCGCTGGCTTTATGTGGCAGTGACATATGTACATATACTTAAATTAATAATTATATTAGGGAATGCGAATTATCTACTTACAGTTCGAATCATTTTGATTGTAACTTACTTATGATAGATTGTAAATTATCGTGGAAATGTTCCGTGATAGGACTTATCGTAATCTGACTATTCTGTATTAGTCATCAGATGTCTATGTTCGTAAACACTGTTGTCTGCTTTAGGGAGCAGTAGCTAAAATTATTGTCTAATTCAGTGAATGATTCCAAAGTTAATCGTACTAACTATGACTCATGAACTATTGAGGAAGAATATATAAACGTAGTGTTCCTGATAGTGCAGATATCGTTCCTTGATACGTAGTTCAAGGAATTGACTTATTGATCGTACATTACGTTATCTTGTTGCAAAGCTGTTTTGTGAAATTCCGTTATATTAATTACTGAGAATTTTAGTTTTTGATAGAACTGCGCAAAAGATCAGTTCGTAATTTTCAATTAATCTTATCTAACGCCATTTCGATCTTTCATTTAATACTTATCCAATCAGGTACATAAAATCGTCTATTGCTGATAGGTAAATGATTAGTTGATCAATTGGCGACATACATGTATTACAGAAAGGCCCAGTAAGATCTCGTGGACAGGTACATCGATATCCGTTAAGCAATTCAGTGCAAGTTCCATTTCCACCGCAAGGATTTGATATACAAAAACCAATATCTAATACGTAACAAGTAGAAATTTTTAACTGCTGTATCCTATTAAATGGGACAATAACTGTTTTAGCATTTATAGTAGAGATTGCACCAGATGATACAAATTTAGCAGCAGTAGTTAATTATGTCATCTAGGATACAAGCTATAAGGTATTTTGTACTTTAGAAAGAAGTCTCTATTCAATTAAGTTGTCTAATAAATACTAAAAAATTGAATTAGTGTCAAGGTATAATATATTCTAGAGTCCTAGCAATTTATAGCCGTGATGATGCTAAATATAACGCTGACTTTAACAGAATCATATCTAGCTATCTATTTAACAGTTGGCGAAGGAGAATTTTCACATTGTAGTCACAAAGAAAGAAAAATCTCTACCATAGGTAGCTATCAAGTGAATGCATACCAATTTCACAGTGTTGACCAGTATAATGTCTAGGACAGTTGCACAAATACTGTGAGCCAAAAGAGTTACATGATCCACCATTTTGGCAAGGATGACTTACACATGGATTGGTGGGAATAGCTAATTGGAATTGGGAGAGAACGAAAACATAATCTTATAAATTATCTTTCTCAGGATTAGGTATATCCTATTCCATAATAGTTTATTAATTTTGTTTACAATACAATCCGATAATCATGAAAGCTGAATTTTCAATCTTGTCTATTTGCTAGTAAAATAAGCTGCATTTGCCCGAAAATAGTTTTGTTTGTCTTCGTTGTATACTATGGTACAAGTCTATTATTTTGATAACTGAATTTATAAACTTTAATGGTCTGTTTTTGTCCATGAACATAGCTGCATTGGGTCTAAACAGTTTCTTAATCTAATTATTCATGTACTAAATAGCTATAATCATGAATACCGAATTTTCAACTTTCTCATTGATCTATTTAGCTATAAAATACGGGTATACTATTTGTAGCCTAATAAAATAATGACGTTTGCATAAGTTTAATTGCTTTCAAACAATAAAATTGTACTCTTATAGAGTAAAGAAATTACTGAAATATTAACAATAAGAGTCAAACTGGTTGCTCTGATTTCCTTAAAATCATTATCGTTCGCAGTGCTTTAATGCTACTGTACATATCTGAGACTCTACCTGTCTGGCAGTTATTTCCTGTGTAATCGGAAGGACAAATACATGAATATGAGCCTTGTCCAAGATCACTACAGATTCCGTTATTAAGGCAAGGTGAGTTTTGGCATTGGTTATTATCTATAAGTGACAAAAATGGTAGATATAAATGATTTAGAGTGAGTTTTGATCGTTCTTTTAGTCGTTTAAGTAACGTAGTTAGGGTTAATTTCAGATATATGAATCTATCTAGCTGCCGTGGGCTAACGATGCATATCGCAACACATACCTAATTCACAATAGTTCCCTGAGTAGGGAGATTTACATTGTATATGCATTTTAATAGTCAATCTGCTTGGTGTTGCTGCTGTTCGAGTGCCAACTAAAGTATAAGTTGTCGCTGTTTGATTGGCTAATATATGAAATGATTGTTGCATAGAGTCAACAGGTTCAGTTTGTTGGGTAAATACACTATCGTCTTCGTCAACATTAACGAAAAGCGTAAATCGACCCTAATAAATGCAAAAATAATTTCTACGAGTTAATTTTATTCTTAAAGAAAATCGTAAGGATTATAACATAAAGCTTATTTATAAATATATCCTCTTTCTGTTTAGAATTTTGAAGCTTGAATAAGAGATAGTAAGTCCAGCATTCTCATACGTTTTATTTATTAAATTAAATACAATAAAGTCGGATGGGAATTCAAACTTAGCTTTTGATAGCTCGTAACCTAGATACAGTATATCTAATAAGATCGTTTATTGATATGACGCTTAACGATATTATGAGGTTATACAGTAGCAAATGCAGTACCACTAGCATATCAGGCCATTAATGGCTTAGTAATTAAGATGAATAGGCAGTAATTTTCGTAGCAATCATATAAAGTAACCGGAGCTGTCAATTTTATTGATTAACTTCAATTTTATGGTAAAGGTCTATATGAGGATATCATGCATAGCATAAAGAAATATCGAAATTTGAAAAAAGAAAAACTAATCACTGAGATTTTGTATATGCAATATATGAAAATACTGCTTAAACATCATCTATGAGCGAAACTTTAATTGTTAATTATCGATGCAGTAGCCATAACTTCATAGAAATAGGATAAACTAATATCCTCATTTAATCTCATGATCCTTTATGTTGCTAAAGAGAAAGTGGAAACAGTCCATCTTTTAGATACAGATAACATAGCTTACCGGCCATCGAGCCTTAAATGGTCCAGCGAAAGGATTCCTTAAACCAGTGGAAGCTACCTGTTGGCCAATGCTGAATTTTATGTTTTGAACTCCAACAAAGTATTGGGTTTGTAAGTAACCATATTTGCACGTTTGTGAATCAAAATTATTCTCGGATAAGCAAAATCGGAATAGATATTCGCATGGATCGTTAAAAAAATCACAGTTTTGACCATTTTGAACGACACCACCCGGGTTCACATATTCTACCATTTGGATAACGATATATCCATGAATGTTATTGGCAGCCAATGTGGACTGAAAAGAAGCAAATTAGGTTTGAAAAAATTAGAAGAGTAGTGTATTGGTCATTTTATTTCTTCTTTTACGATTGAGAACTGAACAGAAATCATGTATAGCCTATCAGGTAGAATCGCAGTCAAATAGACGATTAATTTTATTGGAATGAACACCCGAATATGCTAAGCTAGTCCAATGGTTAATCATGGGCCATGACTAAATTGGTATTCTTCTCTGTAGCCTATAGCTTAAAATTCTTTTTCAAGAGTGTCGTCAATTTTTATCAATCATAAGCCAGCATTAACATAATTTGCGAACTATTAAATTAGTATGGCCGTTTGAGCAGTAATCTATCAAATAATATGAGTATCATTAGTTAATATGGAGTTGACTTTCACCTTCCATAATAAGTAGTGACGAAATCATGGTGAGTTAATATTAGATTCAATTCTGCCGATATCGATGTGTAGATTTATACCAGTATAAGTATACGAGTAATTTGTTAATTATAGCCCATACAACTATGAACTGCAATCTGCTGGCAATATTAGTATGGATTGGTAAATTATCAATTTCATCGCAAATAGTTCTCAAATCAATATTGTCGTTACTATGCGAATTCCCATCTACAATATGGCGCTATCATCTAATTTGAAACGGACTCTGTGCTCCATTTTTTTGTATTTCGATAACAAGATACTTAATTGATATACTATAGTTAGTAGACAAACTTAATTAGTTGTATACGAAAACAAAGCAGTTTATTAACGATCTCAGTGCTACTTAGCGTATCTGATACAATGAATTTTCGGAGATGGAAAACCTAATATGGTTTATCGATTGCTAATTGGTTTTAGAGGATGAATAGTTCTTTACGTTTAGATAATTACATACGTTCACGGGATGATTACTTTTATTTATTTACAGAAAGTAAAACCTTCACTGAGGCTTATTTCGTAAACACGTATAGATGAAAGGCACTGATTACTTTACTACTTTATATCAATGGATAACAAGAAGTTAATTTGAGGCAAATTGGCTGTTCTTTATTAAACTTACAATTTACTGGATAATTTTTCTTTGTTTAATGCCTTTGAGAAAATTTACCATTAATAGGTAATGTGATATGAACGATGCGACCGATATTGGCTACTGCTGCCATAGTGTTGTGAAATATAATTCATGTATTGGTGAAGATCTTTGTATATTAATGGTAAATGCGGTGTTAAAATAATCAATCATGATAATAGAATTTGCTTTCACATCATTGCCGTACTAAACACAACGTAAGATGGGAACTTATGGCCATCCAAGACCAAACAAGGATAGAAAAATTTGGCAAAGTACGGTGATAGATAACCAATATAGACATACTTTTACATAATTTGTAATATTCGAACTAAAACAGTAGAGAATAAAATTAAGGGAAATACTTATAGCAGCGGATTTAAGAAGTAGTGAGTGTCATTTATCAAATGATGCAACTTCTTCTTTAGTAAAATATCTTTTCTAGAAGATATTCTACCCCGATTTGAAGTAGCAGAATATATTTGCTTTATGTTCTATGACCTATATTTTATTCCACTTGTTTATTGACGTAGATGTGAAAACGACTCTGTTACCGCTTTTTTAGTCTTTTGGGCTTTGAGTAATGAATTAAAAATTTGGCTCTGTCTTAATTGATTACACAACTCGACGTTGATTTACTTACTGGGGTAACAAGCAACAGCAGACAGGCCAAATTTGCTAAAATCACGACCGATTTCATTCTCGACTTGTACGGTGCTGATCTAAATACAAGACATAATAGAGGGATCGAATTAGAATATACCTTATGTCTTCGGTCTACATTATGATAGTAATTGGTTATACGTACTGAAATCAGTAAAATTTAAAAGTTTCTCAATCTTATTTTGTTTACTAATTGAAAATTTCTACTATCGATAGACATGTAATTCTAACATTAAAGTCTTTACAGCATCATGATCAGTCTATACAATATCTAGTAGGTAGATTAAAGATTAGGGCATTGGCGCTAAGCGCAATAACAATATATTGAGATACAGAGCTGCTCACACTTGACTATTTCCGTATCTTATTGAAGGCAAATTGGTTTATAAGAATTTCTTTCGTGAGCTTTAATTCTCTTTTATAATCATAAAATAGACTATAACTAATTTTAATCAATATAAAATGCTACAAATTAGGTTAACTTACTATAAATTTCCAGAATAGAGCATGGGAAATGGCTTCAATCGGGCCGGACTATCTCTATTCCTTTTTGTCACAAGGATCGGATCCCATGCACAATTATGTCATAGAAAATGAATAATGCATAAAACCGTTAACGATTAACATGACAACAGAGCTTTTTATTTTATCTAACCAATAGTATCGATAAGCTACAAGAGAATCACCGTACCAGTCACATATTAATTGTCAATAAAATATCAGTGGATAGATTCATGCTGTGTGCTAATGTTATTTGTTCATTAAGCTTAATGCTTTATAATCTATCTATTGATCGGTTGTCATAGTTAATTTAGAAGGATAATGAGATGGACGATGGGTAACATCGTGATGTAATATACGTAGTATTGATGGTAGTGCTAGTGGTATTAGCAACTCCAAAATAGGAAAACACACTTGTATAGATATGAATATTGAATATTGCAATTGGTATGGATTATGGGAATATCGCGATGTAATCTATAATGCTCGTAGCATTGATGATATTTCTAGCGATATTAGCGATTCCAAAATAGGAAAATACACTTGTATAGATATGAATATTGAATAATAGAATGGATGATGTGTAGTATCGTGATATAACCTATAGTCAACACAGCATTGATGATGGTCCTGGTGGTATTAGCAACTTCAAAATAGAAGTACACACTAGTATAGATATGAATATTGCATAATGGAATGGATGATCGGTAGTATCGCAATATAATCTATAGTACATATAGCATTGATGATAGTTCTATTGGCATTAGTAACTCTAAAATAGAAGTATACACTTGTATAGATATAAATATTTTAAATTGAATGGATGGTGGGTAATGTTGCGATGTAATTTATAGTTTATGTTACATTGGTGATGGTTCTAGTGATATCGATGGCAGAACTAGTGACATTAGTAACTCTAAAATGGAACAACAAACTTGTATAGATATAAATATCGGATAATGGAATGGATGATCGCGATATAATTTATAATACATACATGCAGTATTGATGGTAGTTCTAGTCGTATTAGCAACTTCAAAATAAAAACACACTTGCGTTGATATAAATATCGAATGATGGAATGGATGATAGATAATATCGCCATGTAATCTATAATACACGCGGTATTGATGGAGAGACCCAAAATTAGAATACTGTAGAGAGTTTACACAAGGCCTGAATTTCTTCTAATATCACCAGTTTTGAAGATGTTGCTAATAAATAGAACGAGTATAAAGTGCTATTGTAGCTACAAAAGTCATGGCTATATCCAAGGCAAACTAAATGCATAAGTTATAGATTTACAAACAGTGTAACATTGCGAATATTGATCAGTTTATTGGTATTTGATGCCATCGTTGTATTGATTGAGCACACATGGTGCTATTTTACTGTCCCTATAAACCATTAGTAAAGTAGATGTAAAACTTTAAATTCTTAGTTCTTTTTACAATTTTGAGTATGTACCCTTGGAACTTAATTTAATACAACTGTTGCAGAAAAAAAGAGGTTGTAACATTTATAGGTAACATTGCAGATTGTGAGGTTGATAGATTAAGAATCTTCAAGACTTTAGAAAATTAAGATTTATTGAACAAAACCTCGTTCACAAAGATACGACGTAATCGATCAGCTGAGGACCTCTAATACTTGCTACACACTTCAGTATTAGCATCTCAAATACAGGATAGTTTACACCTTTCATGTGAAGCTCTAGTGTGAGCGCTGTAGCACTCCTCTTCAAAAGGATACAGTTACTAAGCTAGCTATACTCAATACTTAAGCCTCCAACGGAATATCTATCACTCGTGAAACACAATAATTACAGTAGACATTACTAAATACATCATCAACTTAGAATACAATATTACACTGTCTTACACAGATTAAAAGTATAACGGAGAAAAGATGGTAAGAATATTGTTAGTTTACGAATCTAATCGAATCTTCATAATTATTTCAATATAATCAAAGTTTGTGTTACCGTTCTGTTTTGCAGTAACTTACTAGTAAAAGATAATGGGAACGTGTGGGAAGATTTCTATTCTATTTGAATGACGTTTAAATAATCTGGTAAAATGGTTATCGTAGCTAGATACAACTATAGTCTAAGTATATTTAACGCTACACAATTGCAGATTATATCATAATCGTTAGCAATGAAATAAATTTTGATTTCATTCTATTTAGTTATTGTTAACGCCATAAACTCAAAGTCTTAAAAGTTAGCAGCTCTAAAAAATTATCTGCATATGTATGAAATTTTTTTTTAATGCATTCACAGTATCATATCGTAATTAATTGTTAGAATATTCCAGATTAGATTATTATAGTAAACGAAGTACTAGCGTATATGTTATAATTAGTGTACTGATTAGCATTTATGCAATAGGATTAATACTCTAAAACCTAAATATTATGATTCTACTTCGTAGAATAGCTTAAAGTTAGTTAAGCAACGAAAAATAGTCTCAGTTTAAAAGTCTACGTGCGCATTCAGTTTGATCTTCAATAAATACACACTTTCTAATGTGTTCGCTATCCTCTTGACATAGTTTGAGAACAATCACACAGACATCATTGACTCTAATATTAAAAACTTAATAAAAAGATCATAAATACTCTTCAAACTTTTTACACACAAGATGTGCTATATTTTAAAGGTAATAAAATAAATCAATACACAGGTAATATTCAATTTTATATTTATTCTTATTCTATTTTTAACACCTTTAAAGAATTAACTTGTCAGGGTGTAACTAAAAATCGATAGTCAAAGAGAAAATCTGCTAAAATTTATTGAGTTGCTGGGACTTTTCGATCGATCTTGGCAAATTGTCAAGCTAATTCTATATCGTAGATTCTTTAGACGTTAATCAGGTCTTTGGTGAACTATCAAGCAAAGGTTATGAATAGAGCTTCTAAGATTAACTGTGAACTATGATACAGGGAGTAACCGTAGATACGTTACAATTTTTTCTGACAATAATAAAGCCTAAGCACAAAAAATTCTTTCACCTGGTTAATACCAGTTTTTTAATGTTAGAATGCATATTCAATGTTAGATCTTACATAATGCAAGATCCTTAGAGACATATTACATAGCGTGTATAATTTCATAATAAAAATTACATCAAAAATTTACCAATATAGAATTAAAGTAACCGTTAGTATTATTGTTTGCTAAATGCTGTAATTGCTACTACAGGAATAAGAATACTGCATTATCGTTTTTGCATTCTAGATATACGTATGAGATCCTATTAATTTTGACTTCCTTACTTTACATAAGGCCTATGGTGTGGTATACGGTTACTCCTTTAATAAAATAAGATCATTACGGTGATAAATTTCAAGTACGTGTACAAAAGCTAATTTTAATTCTACCGTATCGGATTATAAGCAATCTATGAAATAGCACCTATTTTAATCAGTGTATAGCATACTATACGGTGTAATTAAATAAGAGCTATTAGTGTGTCGTATAGTCTTGACGTAAAACTTGTGTACAGAGCTTTTAACTTTTACCCAATAACGGTAGAGGGAACTGATTTACCTACTTTAATACTTTACACAATATATTGCGTACTGTGTAATTAAAATATGATTACCATTGTATAATGACGTACGGTATGGAAACTGATTGGAAAATACGTGTAGTCATTAATAGTACATTGTAATCTTACTTTCGCTAATGTCTGGACCAAAGCCCACAATAAATCTCCTTTCTAAAAGATTAATCAACCATCTTGATGTTAATATTCTAGTAATCAAGTAGCTTCTAGATTAAATCTAGTGATTTAATTCATTGCTGTCACCCCAATGTATTGAGTTAATAAATAGATACCTATTATATGATAATTAGTTCAGGAAGAAAGAATATAATATGGCTTATCATTACCACAAATGAGAGAATATCATGCCATAAAAGTCTAGGTGTTGGAAATTAACCGTTGCTTAGTAACAGAAAGAGATTCTTTCGTCAGAATATGGGCGTAGACTCTACAAAAGTTATGCCGTAGTAGGGTCGAGTTCTAAGCCCTACTCATATATCAATAAAAGTATAGAATTGTATGTATAGTTTAATATGAAATAAACAAACGATAAACTTATATGTTAGCTTGACACTAATCTATTATTAGGTAAGCTTTCCAATCGGATTATTAATATGGAAATCACTTCAATTGTTTCTATAACGATCATGAATTATGTATTATGTTATTGTCTAATCCTACGCTAAGAGAGGGTAATGTAGAATTCTTAGCGCCACTTCTACTTATAATTATTATTGTCTGGGTTCGTCATACTGTTATACAATTACTATGATAAACTCTATCTAAATTGATTTCATAGTATCCTTAGAAAACTATATACATCTAAGCTAAGATATAATCATAGTTGTAGATATTACGATCTAGCATACGATCTAGATGAATTGCATTATTCCACTCGTTATCAATGAGATCAACTGAACATTTCAGTAAGTAAAGCTATAATCGGAAGTAGTTACCTAAAGCTTATTTCATATATTATTATTATTCAAGAGAGTGTACAGCTCTCAAATCTCGATCATATTTTTCCGTTCATCAATCAAGAAGTTCCTGGTAAGTTTTAATTACTATTCTTGAAGTTATCATGGTCAAATTAGGTGTAGGGGGAATGCCTTTTTAAAGATGACTAAAATGACGGCACTTAAAAGCACAATTTAATTTTGTGCAGGAGGGTTCGAAGAGTCAGATAATGAGGTTTTAGTTGCCATGCAGAGAATTGCACAAGGAGCTTAAGAAAAGAGGATACTTTATTGTAGAGAGTAAGGTACAATGTGATAATTACGGTAGATCAGCGTGGTAGCTGCCGTGAGTAAAGTGTGAATACTAACTGTGACTAATAATGCAAATTAAGAAATCTAAGGTAGAAAACGGCGGTATTTATAGCTATAGCTTTAGAAAACATGCAGAGAACATGATTGTAGGATTAGATACAACATATACCATAACGGGTTATAGAATAGCAGATGATTATAGAAAATAGCGAGGACTGTAATAACTAAATGTAGTAAGCCATATTTGAATGTAGAGCGAACAGACTGTAGATATGTCTAAATATAAGATCAGTACAAAATGTCTATATTTATCAGTAGATTACAGTTACAGTACAATCCAAATACACTATAAATTTGATCATAAGTTTAATTAAGTAAATCTTTAAGTTATTTCAATAACTTGAATTAGATTGTGAAACTTAATTTAAACTCCACTCACAATGTCAGTCAAAACAGGTGGTTGTATTAATTGCTATTTCTGCTTAAATTCTATCACATTCTAATCTTATTTCAAGGTAGTTTAAATAATTGTATTCTAAAATTTTGTTTCCAGTTTCGATAATAAATTATAAATAATGTACTAAACTTTGTATTTAAACATGATTAGATTTTGATATTACTGTCCGATATTAGCTTTGTTTGTATTAAACGGTCAAGCTTCTAGAGAGAGATTGATTTGATAGAGTCACTAGTAGCTGTAAAGTCTTTTAGCGTGAATAGATCTATATCATCGGGTCTTTAACTAAACCTACAAAGTTATTATTTTAAAGCCATGATATATTTACTGAACACCTTTATAATGAAGTTTATAGTCTAACTATTTGAAATTTTGTAGCCGGCTTACAGCTTTATGATGTTCCCGTACTTTAATTAACACTACGTACCAAGATAGAAATAACAGCATCAATCTATTTGATATCTCTAGAATCAGCCAAGTATACTTAGAAAATCACCGCTATAGTCTTACTTTATTGGTCTGGTCGTTACCGACACTTGATTACAGTTGCTATCGAAGTAGATGTCAGATTCAAATCTACAACTCGTATGCTGTCTAGACTTAAACTGATCATTTCCCATCCTCGCCTTAAGTTAACTATAATGACGCAGTTAATGCCATATTTAACTTGTAAACTTATAAATTGGTCAATTGCAGAAATCGAAAATCCTATAGATGTCATTTATCTTTAAGGTGATGGGTGTTAGATCCTAAATAATCATGTAATAGTTACTTTGATTTAAAGTTAATACGACCCCAAGTTCTTGATTTTGCCGTCAGCTTAGTGGCATATTTGAGTAAACATCGAATTTGAGTCTGACTTTTAGTTATAAATTAAATATTCCTTCACTACAAAATAGTCTTGAATGATTATCCAGTAACGTTTTAATAAGACTGCCTACCTAATATTCTTAAATAATAGGATTAAGTTCAACTTCTATCACCGTTTATTACTTCGCCAGTGAAAGATTTCTGTACTTCGCTTAAAATGTTCGTTACAGATTCTCGATCTGCATACTGAATCTATTTTATTATTTGTTGACTTAATCACTCTGTCACTCATGGGTAAACTTTCGTCACACCCTAAAGCTAAATGTTTGAGAGATTTATAGAAATAGCGATGGCAAATAGCTTACCGATAGCGATCGATAATATTTCTTCTCGCCTAAATTAACTATTAAATAACTTAGAAATTGTTGATTTAATTTTACCGCTATTATATTTTATAGCATAGCTATTAATTTGGTTCGATATTATAGGTGAAAGCCTCTGCTTTTTATACCTCGCTATTAATTGGAGAAGAAACGTGTCTGGTTAATTAGCGGGTTATACTCAAGTTGGCGGTTGCCACTTATGGCTACTAGTAAAGACTACATCATTGAAAGCAATTTTATAGCTGATTTTATTGTACTTAATCGAAACAGTTATCTGCACTCCAACCATGAAAGTTTTGTTTGTATTATTGCTTCTTTTAGCCTTTACAATATCTGTTGAGGTAAGTCGAATAAGTTTGGAATGACTACAAGATATTTTTGATTGGTCTGATAATATATTGTTTTTAAAATTTTTTTCTTGTTCTGTGGATAATACACGAATGGAGTGATGCTAGATTTATATCATGTAAAGTAAACTTCAGGGCTATCTGTTTTTCCTAGTCTATAAAATTATATGTAGAAAGTAGAAGTAGTACAATTATTTTAAATGTTATAATATTTCTATTGCTGTAGAATCAATCTAACAACACTATTAAAAGAATGGTAGAACGAATATATTCATCGCCCTATTCTATTTTATAATCTTTGTATGTATTTAGGCTAGCGCTTGTTCTACTACTAGCCATGCTGAATTTACTTTACAATTTGATCATTACTGGAACCCGGACGAACGAAATTATAATGGAGACAAATGTGACAATTTTTCTGCCTGTGAATATTACTTTATTATTTGTCTAAACACCCAAACTTCAACCGATCCTTGTACTATTGGTAGCTTTACAACCAAGTATTGGGAAAGGAGTCAAAATGTGTCATTTTCTATTGGTGAAGTTATGAATAGTACAAGCCAAACAAACCCTCTTAACTTTACAATCCAATCCTATACGGTAAATTTACTAAGATAAGATATTTCATTAATTATATTATCGACTATATTAGTTTAAATTCCGTCGTTTAAATTCCTGTCGTTTTACTTACCAACGCAGTAAAAATTTTAATTTTTACAATCTATAGGGTTATGTAAACCTCCATATTAAAGTGATGGATAAGGACTTTCAAGAAGGTGCCGATGATCTATTAGATATATTCAGTCACGGCCTTTATCTTGTTTCTGGTGCTAAATCTCAGTATAGATTAGAAGGAACACGACCAATAATCAAGAAATCATTTCTTAGTTTTCAAGCTGAGGTTAAATGTTGTTCACAATGGACAGGTTCAAACTGTAATCAAGGTAAACAGATTACGCGATATTTAATTATAAAAGAGATCTTATCTTAATCCAGTGTTAGACGTTTATTCCACATCCCATACGTATAGCATATTAAAGCTATTTTAAAGGGCTGATTCCTATCTTCCTTTGTCTAATATACGAGTAGAGAGTTATTAGTATGTGACTAAGTTCTTGCAAAGGACTGTTTCTTATCTTTCTGTATAGAATATACAAGCAGAGAGTTATTAGCATTTGACTGTAATTCTCCAAGGACTAACTAATACCATCGTAGATGCTTATGTAGACTTCACTAAAATTGTTAAAGTTAATTAGTAGATTTACAGTATATCCACATTTTTACACAACTGTATTAATTGCCTGGATAAAACCTGTACTAATCACGGCTTATTACGAATCATGTATCATCAATTAGTAGTATAATTTACAATCATTTAATAATTAACTTAAATTACTGCGATATTACTTTCGTTATTTGTAGCCTGTTATCAGCCTAAAGTCTGTAGACTGCTAATAACATTATAAGCTAATGAAGAATGTCCGATTACTAATCTTTTGACTACGTACAGATTTAAATAGTTGCCAAAGTAGCCCATGTAAAAATGGGGGAACTTGTGCCAACGCTGGCCCAGACGCTTACAGTTGTAACTGTCATCCGCAGAATACAGGAAAAAATTGCGAAAATGGTATTAAAATAATATTTATCTAGCTATTACTTTCTATGACTTTGATTCTCTATTTGTGTTGGTCAGTACCTTTGAAGGAAGGTTTCACTTGACATAATTTAAAGCCACTTCGAAATTATTCGATGTTATATCTAACTACCTATCGTACTTCTTTATTCAGCTAATGCATGTGCTTCGAACCCATGTGTACATCCATATGCAACATGTACGGTTGTTGCTAATACCTATCTTTGTAGTTGTCCACACGATTGGACAGGAACTCGCTGTGAGAAAGGTAAAGTCGATATTTAGCATAGCTATATGATAATCACATTGATGCTAAGAGAATTTGATTGGTTTTTCATCATTACGATGTTTGAATATCTACAGGAAGAACAAGTATATTCTACGGCGTATTATATCACAGAAATTGCAAATTGATTTTAATAGATAATACAGATACTTTAATAGGATAAATACCCGCTAGAATCCTGTCATAAGACAAAAATATCAATTTCATATCCAAGATAGAATAAAATCATGTTATAGAAGAACATGATTAGTTTTATACAAGTTCCTCTTATACTAAACACGTAAATTGTAAACTTATTGAAAAAATGTAATTGCAGTAGTAATATTAAATTCTGTGGGATAACCTTTTAAATTCATCTACCTGTCTTTTCATCTATAGATCTTAACTATTGCCGTAATAATCCGTGCCAGAATGGCGGTACATGCAGTAATACTGGACCTGATCAATATAGTTGCAGTTGTACCCCTCAATACATTGGAACCAATTGTGAATCATGTTAGTTTTCTTCTCTATTTGATAAGAATTCGACTTAACCGAGTATATAATCTTAATTACTGTAGCATTTATTTAGCATTATTGTTGATTTTTGTATAATTTATACTTTTTAGTGGCTTGCAACAGTAATCCATGTCAAAATGGTGCTACATGTCACGATAATGCGAGTGGTTATAATTGTGCATGTGTTCCTGGGTATAATGGTACAAATTGTCAAACAGGTTAGTCTTCTATATTGATGAAAACTTATATTTGATTAACTTAACAGTATAAATAATTAAGCTTATGGAAATATTTATTTCTATTATTTTTTCTCCAAGATATTAATGAATGTGCATCGAATCCGTGTCAACATATTTATTCAACATGTCATAATAACATCAACGGCTTCACATGTACTTGTCCTAGTGATTGGACAGGAACATTATGTCAGAGTAGTAAGTATTCAACGATATGACAGTTTATGACTGGACATGTAATAAAAAATTAAGCATGAGCTAAGTGATCAATTATTGAAATATTTTATCAAGAAGATCATCATTAGATAAAATATCTATATTTTGTGCGATCGTCTTGCTTTATTTTCGCACATTCTTTCACATTCTGAAACAGCAAAGGAAGCTGATAGATTACAATACTGTACAGACTCAACGTTATAAGTTTCTAAAGTTTAAGGCTATATGAAAACTTGATTAGCATATTTTATATTTTATGATTGGATATATTTCGCTATATGATAGTATTCAATCTTATACTGAAAAATGTACAGTACTGATGTTAACTCGTCAAAAAACTGATATATAAGATTGTTTCTCAGTATTTCAAATGTTCCAGGTCATATTTCTTTCTATATGCAGATATTGTTGCTGCATAACAGCGATTGTTTTTATAAACTTTACTTATATTTATTTAATATTAAGCTGGTTTAGATTTTTAATACTGTTTATACGGTCAATATTTACAGAGCTAGACCCTTGTCTTAGTACACCTTGCCGAAATTCAGGCACTTGCATTGTTGCTGCCGATTATAGTTCTTATACATGTTCATGTGCTACCGATTATACTGGTAAACACTGCCAAACAAGTATGTAGAAATCGAATATTTGTATGATTAGATATAAATCAATAAATAGTTTATATGTTATTCTGTTAACTTACAACCTTTTACGTAACGACTATTTGTAGAATTGAATCCTTGTGGTAGTTCACCTTGCCAAAATTCAGGCTCTTGTGCCCCTTCCAGTGATTATACTTCGTATACCTGTCAATGTATTTCTGGCTATACTGGCAGCACTTGCCAAACAAGTGCGTCTAAATAATGATAGCTTTAAGCAATAGTTAATGCTATATTACAACTATAGATTGTTAATGTTAACTCTGTCTCGATTATAAGGTATTCTTATCACTTTTAATACCTTGTAGATATTAACGAATGCCAATCGAATCCATGTCGACATTTATACGCAACTTGCCATGATGGCATCAATGGTTTTACATGTAGTTGTCCTAAAGATTGGTCAGGAACACTATGTGATAAGGGTAAGAATAGAGTTGATACTTAGAATAACTACAGTTTTAGACACAGTAATAATAATTTTAGCCTGTACAATCTAGAATTTTCATACCATTGTTTTAATTATACGTCTAAAAGACGGCGAGATAAAACACTGAAATATCGACTTGATATTATAGCACACTTGAGTAATCTAAGGAAACTTATTTGCAGTATAAATTAGTGGCGGTGATGTAGCCTTTACCGATTAATTATGATCGCATTTAATTTTAAAGTATTTGTAGTTTCTTTTAAATATCTACTCGAAATAATAGCATATTCGAGTGAAATAAATACACTTATTTACAACATAAATTAGTAACAAAAATGCAATCGTTATAGATTAGTCATGGCTGTATTTAATTGAAAAGTATTTGCAGTCTCTTTTAAATAACTGGTATAAATTTACAGTATATTTTAATTAATAGCCTTATAAGACTTAATTGATAACAAAAATTTACAATAAATAGGAGTATCCTAAATTTAATTTGCAACAACTGAAATGGAATTTGCAGTAGAGTGTTATAGATGTTAGCTAAAGGGTAAATTTGCAATCAGAGTTTACGGTAACTGAAAAAGACTAAATCATCAATAACTAGCATAAATCTACTACCTATTACACTAGATGCAGTAATTATCTAGGACAGAATCAGTAATCGTATCACTTGAATATCTAAATGCAATTATTTATATAGAGTTTATATATAAATTCCTTCACAGCTTTGATACTTTCCATAATTGCTATTTTAATTCGTTAGTTACGGTATGGTAACAAAATTAATATTTTTATTATATTTATATTTTGCGGATGATGATGCTTTGTATTACCAATCTTGATAATGATCATCTTGTTTATCTTGATGCTACTAGATTTAAACTCTTGCCGAAGCAATCCATGCCAAAACAGCGGTACTTGTGCTAATACTGGTCTGGATCAGTATCAATGTACATGTCCAAGTGACTATACAGGAAGTAATTGTCAAACTGGTAAGTACTCGCAACTGTAGCTGTAAAACTCAATTTTTAATTAATTGATGATTTAATATCTATCAATAAACTACGTGATAAGGCAGAGCTAACGGCTATGTAATGGAATTACCCTTGTAATTTACTCAGTAGCTATAGGAAAAATTAGTTAAAGCGAAAGCTAGCCTAAAAGCAAAATATTTAATATTCCGTAGTTGTTAATTTATTACCCAGTATTAGTCTTCTATTTATAACAAACCATTAGAATAGAATGTTAAAATGATTACATCTTTCTTCAAAGCAATTATATCAATTTGGCAACAGTTCATTTATTTCCAAATAGAATTAGTATTAGCTGTAATAATTAAGGAAAGAATCTATTTCTAAAATTTTTCATCATCTTTGATTCTTTCTTTAAGTACTGTAATTTTTATTTAGCGATATGTGATAAAAACGGCGTATTAATCTTATCTTGGCCATATTTTGATATTTATGAAATTTATATTGTATGTACCACGCTAGTAAACTTGGTATTAAGTACTCTAACCGCCTTACTTTCCTATAGATTTAAATTACTGTCGTAGCAATCCATGCCAAAACAGTGGTACATGTGTCAATGGCGCAAATCGGTTTCAATGTACTTGTGTTACTGGCTATACAGGAAATCGATGCCAAACAAGTTAGTTGCGTTATATATTACTGCTTTATTCTTAATTGATTGTTAGCTAACGTTGGTCAATATTGCATGTCCTGATATTAATTAAGATATCAACGAATGTGCATCTAATCCATGCACTCAATCAACTGCAACTTGCAATGATCAAATAAACGGTTATAGTTGTACTTGTCCAGCAAATTGGACTGGAATACATTGTCAAAATGGTCGGTTATTAAAAGTTACTAATGTATATGAATATTATTAAATTAAGGCGTTGTTATCGAAATATGATTAGTATTTATAAGGCTTGGTAGCATTACGTACAAATTAATTGTGTATATTTCTACATATTTGAAAGATTTAAACACTTGCCGCTCTTCGCCCTGCTCGAATGGAGGAACTTGTATAAATCACGGAATCAATAATTATACATGTTCATGTCCTACTGGCTTCACAGGAAGAATATGTGAAATAAGTTAGTTTTTAATATAATATCAATTTGATAGTATAAAATCGATTTTTACTTGCTTCTAATATTAGCATTCCCTTATATTTCTGTCTATAATTATCGTTTTTGTTAAAGATATCAACGAATGTGCCTCTAATCCGTGTAGACATATCTATGCAACATGTGTGGATGGTGCTAATCGTTATGACTGTCTTTGTCCATCTGATTGGACAGGGATACAATGTGGTCAAGGTATGGAAATATTTAGATAAAGGATTGATTTGATGTAGTTTTAAATACATGCTGTATCAATTTTTAGTGTATTATATGTGATATTACATGTTTTTATTGCTTTGATTGATTACATGGGAATAAGTAATACTTACAAAACAATGCTGAAATAATGTGTTAATTATATTAAACGGTCCTTAATATTGTTACAGACTTAAATTCTTGTCGTAGCAGTCCATGTAAAAATGGCGCAACTTGTAGTAACACTGGACCAGATGTGTACGCGTGTACTTGTGCTACTGGATTTACTGGTCCGCAATGTCAAACAAGTGAGTAATATATCCCTAAAAATAATCTTTGAGATGACGAAATATCTATTTATCGCTAGTATCGTTCGTCTTAGAAATCTTGGTTTTGTAACTTTATGCTTTATCTTATTTATTACATAAATGAAAAAATTAAAAATTTTAAATCTGTAAAATAGTATTACAACAACATCAATACAATGAATATCTCTTCTGAAATACAATAGATATCAACGATTGCAATACTAATCCATGTCAAAATCAAGGAACTTGCGTAGATGGTGTAAATAGCTACAATTGTATTTGCATGGCTAATTATACTGGTCATACTTGCCAATCAGGTACGTTGGCGTATACAATTAATTTTTAAATCATCGAAAATGATGCTGTCGATGTAACTGAGGTGGATCGAACATTCAATAATTTAAACATTTATAATACCTCATCCTAAACAATACGGATATCAATTAGACATTCAATTTATATTTACTTATATTTGTAATGAAATTAGATTTAAACAGCTGTCGCAGCTCTCCTTGTCACAATGGTGCGACATGTATTAACTCTGGTGCAAACGCTTATCAATGCTCATGTATTGCCGGTTTTACAGGAACAAACTGTATAACAAGTAATATCTATTTTCAATCATAATTAATATAAACTAATGCTAAAGACATAGTATCTCAGTAAACTTAAACGATGCTATCTAAATATTGCCATATAATCGATTGTGTTATTGTCTATCAGATATTAATGAATGTCAGTCCAATCCTTGCCGCCACGGTAATTGCACAGATCAAGTTAATAGTTTCCGGTGTATTTGTCCTCCAGACAGAACTGGAACTACATGTGCAGATGGTAAATATATCCTAATTTGTTTATGAAAAGATACGCTATCATGTTATAGAGTTACGAATCTTAGTTCTACATTCAATTTAATCTGTTAGATTTAAATTCTTGCCGAAGTTCTCCTTGTTCTGGTAGTGGAACATGTACTAATACACAGCCTAACATGTATACATGCAGTTGTCTAAGTGGCTATACAGGAAGTAATTGTGAAACAAGTAAGGACTGAAGTCTCCTAGACAATAATAGAAGATGAAATAATCCAACAATATATTTAAAATATATTTTTATAGATATAAATGAGTGCGGATCTAATCCATGCTACGGCAATGCGACTTGCAACGATTTAGTTAATCAATACAGCTGTTCATGTCCGATCAATTGGACAGGAGTTCAATGCCAATCGGGTTAGTAAACATAGTTTGTAATCTGATGTTAGGAATTGCAGTGTAAGATAGATATCTAAAAACATATACTTTTGGATGTAATTAATAGATCTAAATACCTGTCGAAGTTCACCATGTATAAATCAAGGAAGTTGTGTCAATACTGGACCAGATACTCACGTTTGTAATTGCGTGGCTGGATTTACAGGAATTCAATGTCAAACAAGTCTGTTCTATGCAATCTTATTTAAACATTACTTTAAGCTACAATTATATTTCATTATCGCTTGGTAATAAAGTAGATTTTAAATTAGATAAAGTATGTATCGATTACGGTTATAAAATAATTTATTTTCTTGAAGATGCGGATGAGTGTATTTCTAATCCTTGCATGAATGGAGCGACTTGTCACGACTTAGTAAATGGATATACCTGTCAGTGTTTCAGTAATTGGACTGGCGTCCACTGCCAATCAGGTCTTAAGCATATTTTTGTTTAATGGAATTTATACTACTCTTTGTTATTGCACATTTTCTCTCTTTATCAGTTATCTGTAAAAGCTAGTTTGTACTGAGATATTATAAGATTGCATTAGTGTATGTGATAATTTTAACTGTTATCTAATAAAATATCCGTTTAATTACTTTACAGACATGAATCCTTGCCGTAGCAATCCATGCCAAAATAGAGCCTTTTGTAGCAACTATGGAACAGATTATTATAACTGTACATGTATAGCTGGTTTTATGGGCACCTTTTGCCAAACAAGTAATGACCGAAGCATGATTATTAATTAGCAGTAAATTAAGATAGTTATCGTATAAGTATGTGTTAATAGGGAATAAATTTTCGATTTAGATTAGGCCATTTTTGATTGTGTACTATAAATTTCATTGTTCGATACAGTACATAAATACCGTTCTCTACGGAATTTGATTAGAATTAAATTAAGCTTAACAAGGTCAACAGGTAGACTCCAATATGATTAGCTCCTCAATATAATGATATTTCATCGTTCAATACAGTACATTAATACATACCATTCTCTACAAAATTGATTAGAACTAAAATTAAGTTCAAAGAGGTCGATAGATAGCCTCTAATGTAATTAGATTCTCAATATAGTGATCTAATAGACAGAATTTTAATTATTCAATAATTTGTCAACTGCTTTGCTTTAAATAGGAAACACTGAATGTCTAATTTATCGTAAAATAAACTACAAGAAATATCTTCATATTAATATTCTTTAAAATATTTATGGCAGATATTAACGAATGCTCATCTACGCCTTGTATGAATAATGGAACATGTGAGGATCAGGTCAATAAATTTCATTGCAACTGCGATCATGGATGGATTGGGACATTATGTGATTCAAGTAAGTACTCGAATGGCTTGCGCTATCTTAGGAAAGATAGCATCTTATAATATTGCTAATTTAATACTGAATGCCTTTCTTAACTTATAGGCATCAATGAATGCAATAATACTCATGGAAATGCCTGTGTAAACGGTACATGCGTCGATCTCCATCTTAACTACTTCTGTAATTGCAGTACTGGCTTTACTGGAGATCATTGTGATGTTAATATCGATGATTGCAATCCTAATCCATGCCAACATCAATCGACTTGTATTGATGGAATTAATCAGTATCGATGTCAATGTCAACCTGGCTATAATGGTACCAATTGCACCTACGAAATCAATGAATGCAATAGTAATCCATGCTTGCATAGTAGTACATGTAATAATTTGATTAATAGCTATAACTGTACCTGTCTTGCGGGTTATACTGGAACTTATTGCCAAACTAATATTGATGAATGTAAATCCAGTCCATGCCAACATGGAAGTAATTGTACTGATTCAATTGATGGCTACCAGTGTAATTGTACTCTTGGCTATACAGGTGTATTATGTGAAACAGGTAACGAAATAGGTGTAGATGCTATTAAGATGCTAGCATTTGAAAGAGCTTATCATAAGATTCGTATCAATTAACGTATTTTTTCATTTATATAACAGATATCGATAACTGTTTATCCAATGAATGTCAATATAATGCTACTTGTATTGATCAAGTCAATTCTTATCGATGTCAATGCATAGATGGAATCACTGGTAACTTATGCCAAACAGGTAAGCCATTTATACACTAATCATTAACATCTACTTATGCAATATCAATATCTAAGAATACTTAAGGAGCTCAAGATTCAGTAGACGAGCTATACTTTAGCTAATTGAAAGCATTACGGTATACTGAAGTTATGGTAGGATGATAAATTAATCAAGGTGTAACAAATAATAACAAACTAATTTCGCTATGGTATCTTACCAGAAAAGATACTACACCGATTTTACATTTTAAACTAAAAATTTACTGCTATAGCTTAGTGATAGACTTGGATGATCTTATTCAAGTCCATATTAAGCCAGTTCTATTTTTAATTAACTTTACTATATGATAAAATACATTATCTGTTTGAATTCTGAATGGATTATAATTATCGATCAATTTATTAATATAGACGCGGATGGCTGTTAGCTATACTTTATCGCTTCTATTTTAAATATCACAAGAAACTATTTCGTGTCTTGAAATTACTATCTAATTAGCTTGTTGCTGTACATCAGTAATTTTAGAATCAAATCTACATTTTTCTGATTCTGTGTTAAGTTTGAGAGAATCTATGCATTTTGCATTTTAAGTAATTTTCGATTGACATATTAATATGACGATTGTTAATCGAGTTGTCAGTCTACGAATTCTATATCACTATTTGTTATTAGGAAAGTTAGTCTTAGTCTATACGATTCATCAAGAGTTAGTTTGGTGAATAGTCGGAGACAGCAGATAGATTAGCAGTTGCTAGCCTTAGTAGGACAAGTGTTGCAGAGGAGATCTGTGACACTATTATAGTAGTAGAAAAGACAATTCTCTTTACACTTTGAATTAACCAGCTATTGACTTTCTAACAGATATTGATGATTGTCAAGCTAATCCATGCCAAAATTCCGGAACATGCGATGTACGAATACATAACGGAAGTATTTTCCAACTTTCTTTAAACTTCATTCGTAATACATTATCTGATCTACATAATTTATTGATAACTTAATAGGATCTGATTAATGGCTTTATATGCACATGTGCTAGTGGCTATACAGGAGCTACTTGTGCCGTTAATATCAATGAATGCCAAAGTAATCCATGCCGAAATTCGGCTACATGTATTGATGGAATTGATGGCTATAGCTGTTCTTGTCATCTTGGCTATACCGGTGTTCATTGCGAAACTGATATTAATGAATGCGTTAGTACACCATGTGTTAATGGTGCGACTTGCCATGATCTAGTCGATGCATTTAACTGCTCTTGTGCTCCAGGTTATGCTGGTACTACATGTAATATTAATATAGATGAATGCCAAAGTTCGCCATGTTTCAATAACGGTACCTGTTTGGATGGAATCGATAACTACCAATGTAGTTGTATGCAAGGTTATAACGGTTCGCGATGTGAATTCGATATTGATGAATGTAGCTCAAATCCATGCCAAAATGGAGCAACATGCGAAGATTTTGTCGCTGATTATGAATGTATTTGTGATGCTGGTTACACTGGTCGAAATTGTGAAATTGATATTAACGAATGCGAAACTAAACCATGTCAAAACGGTAATAGTTTCTTATGATCTAGTGTATCACAATATTTTATTGATTTTAATTATCTTAGATTCATCAATGCTAGCACCTGATCATCATAGCTAATACTAGTTCTCTAATTATATTGTATCAAAGTTATTACTTTGTTATTCTTCAAGTTACCAATATCATCATTTTATTATACTTTAATCTTGAAACTGATGCAAATTCCATAGCAATATAAGCTAAAAGGAATGGAAATGATAGCTATTAATTAACCGAGACTAAATCATTCCAAAATTATTCTAGACCTGTAACTTCGATATTCTTTATTCTGTTGATGTTAAGTAAACATTGACTAATCAGATTAATTAATTATGACTTGAAATTGACGTAAATTCCATTAGTTAATACAAGCCAGAAAGAATTACAACGATAGCTATGCATTAGCCGAGACTAAATCACTCTAAAATTATTCTAGACCTGTGATTTTGCTATTCTTTATTTAATTGATAATAATTGAACGTTGACTATTCTGATTAAATAATTATGACTTGAAACTGATTCAAATTCCATAGATCGATGCAAACTAGAAAAAATTGTAATGACATCTATGAATTAACAGAGATTAAATCACTTGAGCACATATAAGACCAGTAACTTTGCTATTCTTCATTCTGCTGATATTAGCTAATGCTGATTAATCAGCTTAATTAACTAACAAACATCGATTTTGGGCTACTGTACTATTCAATTGGCTATATTACTGCATAATGTATTTAATTATTTTTCTCTTATTTTAGATTTAAATAGCGCTGTAATTGTTAATCTGTTAAAATGACTTGATAACTGTAATCAGGTCAAAGCAGGGTGCAAAGATAAAATTAACCATTAAATCAATATTTTGCATATTTTGATATTTATTATTCTACTTTCTACTAATGTAAAAGTAAGCAGAAAATTTAAATTATTTACATAGCTCCATAATTGCTTTACTAATCACTTTATTCTTATTTTTATTTACGTTATTAATGGATAGGTGGTACTTGTTATGATTTCGTCAATTACTACAACTGTACCTGCCCTGACGGTTATACGGGTTTTAATTGCCATATCGATATTAACGAATGCGCTGATCAGCCTTGTTATAATAACGCTACATGTGTTGATTTAATCGCAAAATATCAATGCCAATGCTATCCTGGCTATAATGGCTCGGATTGCCAAATAGATATTGATGAGTGTTTATCCGAACCATGCCAGAATAATGGCAGCTGCTATGATCAAATTAATCAATTTCAATGTCAATGCTTACCTGGATATACTGATACAATGTGCCAAACTAATATCGATGAATGTTCTAGTAATCCTTGCTACTTTGGATCTTGTTTAGATAACATTAACGGTTATCACTGTCGATGCAATCCTGGATATACTGGTCGATTATGTCAGACTGAAATCGATGAATGTCAAAGTAACCCATGTTATAATAACGCCACATGTATTAATCAAATTAATCGCTATCAATGCAGTTGTATTCAAGGCTTTACAGGTATACATTGCCAAACTGATATCGATAATTGCGATCCCAATCCATGCCATGATGGAAATTGTACCGACTTAGTCAATGATTATACATGTACATGTCCGGAAGATGTATTAGGTAAATCGTGTTTTAGACAATTGCACACTTAATCCATGCCAAAATGGCGGACAATGCCATGATCAAGCCATCGACTATTCTTGTCAATGTTTACTCGGATTTACAGGTCAAGATTGTCAAATTAATATCGACGATTGCGTCAATGTACCATGTCAAAATAACGGAGTCTGTATAGATGGAATTAATCGATATACTTGCCAATGTCCGGCTGGTTATACTGGACAGCAATGTCAAACAGATATTAACGAATGCTTTAGTAATCCGTGCCAACATGATGCAGCATGTATCGACAATATTAATCAATATCAATGTCAATGTCTACCTGGCTATACTGGCAATCACTGTCAAACTGAAATTGATGAATGTTCGAGTAATCCTTGTGTTTACGGGACATGTAATAACTTAATTAATCAATTTAACTGTTCTTGCTCTACTGGCTATGATGGTACAACATGCAATCATGATATCGATGAATGTCGTTTTCGACCATGTGTTAATTTGGTAGTATGTGTTAATTCTCCACCTGGTAGTTATACATGCTACTGCACTTCTGGTTATACGGGTCGTCATTGCCAGAGTAATATTGACGAATGTGCATCGTCGCCTTGTGTTCACGGAACATGCCAAGATGATATTAATCGTTATCAATGTTCTTGTACTGATGGCTATACAGGTGTTCATTGCGAAACTGATATTAACGATTGTCTTGCACTTCCATGCAGAAATAATGCGACATGTATTGATTTAGTAGGCGACTATCATTGCAATTGTACTCAAGGTTTTCATGGCAAACAATGTCTTGAAGAAGATCGAGAATGTGATAGCAATCCATGTCAAAACGGTGCAACATGTCAAGATTTAGTTAACGGCTATCAATGTCGTTGTCGAGATGGCTATAACGGCACTAACTGCCAAAATAACATTAATGATTGTACACAGTCGCCATGTCAAAATGGAGGAAATTGTACAGATTTAATCAATGATTATACTTGTACTTGTCCTAATGGCTACACGGGTAAAAACTGTTTGAGTAATATCAACGAGTGTTCTTCAAATCCATGCTTAAATTTTGGATCTTGCGTCGATTTAATTAACGGCTATCAATGCAATTGCCGGTAAGTTAAAATCGGTAATATCATGCAAGGGATAAGTAATTTTAATTTTAAAAGAGATTTTATTTATAGAATTAGAAATTACTGAGATAGAATAGTGTAGTGTAATTGCAACTTATCTAACCAATTGTAAGCATTAATATTGCACTTAAATCTGCGAAATTAAGCTTATATCAACGTAGCATTGGTCTTATTAGGAAAAGATGTATTTTGTGAATTAAAATTAAGCATTCGAGCTAACAGTTCTGTAAAGATATTATTAAGTATTATCAATCCAAATTATTAAACTAATCACTGTTGACATAGCAGCACGGAAATGTAGACTGACATTTAAATATCTCTTATTGTTAGTATAGACATAATGAAGAGTAGTCTTTATCATTTCAGTATAAAAACAAATTTATACGCGTACATGAATTTAAGATATGGTTAGTTTGGGCCCTTAGTATTAAACGTGACCACAATTTATACTGTGTAGATAGATTTATTAACTAATAGAAATGTTGATTTTATCTTACAATAATTGCCTGGATACTGTTAGATCGACCTAGCATTAAAATGACATACAGTATTCTTTTAGCTACTCCTGTTAGAAAGACATTAATCGATTTAACTCGATTTCAATCTCTTTTAAATATCGAAATCAAAATTATTAAAGCCAATTTATTAGTCACCAAGTATATTAATTTTTACCAGCAATTGCATATTCGAATAAAGAACCGATTTAATTCTATTCCTTTAATATATTTGGCTATTATAGACTTGGATTTACCGGCTCCCTTTGCGAAACCAATATCGATGATTGTGCTTCTTCTCCATGTGTCAATGCTTCATCTTGTATAGATGACGTCAGTTCTTTTACTTGTGTGTGCATTACTGGTTTTACTGGCAATCTATGCCAAACTAATATACAAGAATGTGCTTCCAATCCTTGCTTTAACAATGCCACATGCAGTGACTTAGTCAATGCATATAGTTGCCGCTGTAGCTCAGGATATACAGGAGTTTTATGTCAAGCTGAAATTGATGAATGTGCATCGAATCCTTGTCTTAATCAAGGCACATGTGTTGATCGCATTAACGCATATCAGTGTATTTGCACTTCTGAATACACCGGACAAAATTGCAATGCTGGTAGGCTATGTATTGAGCTTATCACTACAAGGGAATGTTTTATTTCATCATAACTTAACTTGCATTCATTTCATGTATAGATGTCTATCAATCTTGTACATTTGCTAACCAGACCTATAAGCATGGTGTTTCTTTTGATAACGAATGTAATCGATGCCAATGTAATAACGGAGTTACATCTTGCACTAAGGTATTCATATCGATCTGTAGCCAAGTCTAAAAAATGGACATGATCAACTCTATTCTAAGTTGTTTCATATTCTTCCTTCGTAGGTGTGGTGTGGAGCAACTTATTGCACAAATGGAACATGCAGCCAAGAACAAGGTTCTTGTGAAGCTATTACTGCTCTAAATTGCTTAAAACCATCTTGTGGCAACGTTGGAATATGTGCTAATACTCGTAAAGGACTTTTATGTTTAAATGACAACACCATTCCCAATGGGTGTGTTCGAGAATCTCGATTTGTTGATATAACTAATTTAAAAATGGTATGGACTCTATTAATTTCCTAATTTGATTTATTATAGTAATATAAAAGTAGCAACATAAGGATTTGATATCGAATATACTGTCTGTATTAGGGTACAACCATTCACAGTATCTGTGACCAGCTACGTAACCTTACTCTGTTAAGAAGCTATAGTTCCTCTCAAGATTTATATCTTCAATGCAAAGTCAATTCTAAAAGCAGCACTTATGCAATTATTACTCTTGCTATGGTATGTATAATACTATAATGGACTATGATTTCGACTTGGCATAAATATTTAAATAGGACTAATATCACTGTGGCATTACTTTTACGAGAAATTTATAGTAAAATAAATTTCCAGTCACTATTTCCGTAATTTACAAATTCAAATTAGTACTGTATTGTCTTAATTATTAGTAAAAATGATTAACATTAACTGGCAGATAATAGATTAGCTAATAAATATTTAGCCTATATTTAAAGTTCTCTAATCGTTAGTAACGATATTAATCTAAGCTGTTAAAGTAGCTGATACATACTTTAAAAGACCATAGCTAGCTATTTTTGCTACATAATTGTCTTATAAACTTAAAGTTTAAAGTTTAAAATTCGTTTATATTCAAAATATAGCAAAGCATGGAAAATACGCAGACAGCACAAGCAGCTATGACAGCTCTATTAGCTTATATCCAAAATGCCAACAATTCTGCTTTAGTTGGTCTTGGAATGGTCTTCTCGACGGTAGCACCATCACCGCAAAGCACACGTACGTACTTTATTCCAGCAAATGAACTTGAAAAATATATTTTAATTAAAAACGAATTGTAACATTTATGTAATCTCTTTTGATATGATAATAATAGCTTTTTAGGCTTAAAACATCCCTATCTTTTATCTAGAAATTAAGTATTTATGCTAATTTATTTGCGTGTAATATTAAATTCCTTTTCATGCTATTCTTCCGCAGCAACCAATACCGTAGTTATTCCTATCATTGTTGCTATTTCTGTCTTACTATTGCTGGTGTT